GTCATTGTATAGCCTGAAGTTTGCAGTTCGAAAACCGAATACTTTCAAGAAAAAGCAATTTAAAACTGGTTCCTCTTGTGTTTAAGTATTTAACAGAAAACATAAAAATGATGCTGCCTAACTCTATAGATTACAAAGATTACACTCAGAAAGTTTGGATACAGAGTTACATACTTCATTTGAGGAGCTTGGGGGACAAGGCGCATAAGTGCAGTTACAGAAAAAATTGAGATATCAATTATTTCAAGCGAGACAAGTTTCAATGCATATCCTGTGAAAAATTCTCTCCCAAATTCTTCTTTTCAAGCACTAAAAAGTCAGTTTGAACTTTCTTTCCGCCATGAGGCTCCATGTAATTTCGAAACTTCAAACATACGTATTTCTCGAAATAGCAAAAACTGCACTTATGCACCTTGTCCTCCAAGCCCCTCATTTCTTTTTGAAAAAAACATGAAACATCGGATGGGCTGATTCTGGTTAATATCGTTTAATTATAATCAGTCATATTCAGGACACGAGTTGAACGTAAAACTTCGAAGGATGGTTACATGTTTTTTGCTGATCCATAAAACGCAACCATCAAGACACCAATCTGAGACATGCATACTCCGCGTATTCAAATAAATAAGTTTGACGCGTCCTGACTATGAAGAGAATCTTCCAATGGAAAATTCCCTTTCGGGCAACTTCGTCCTTAAAACTGCCGATCATCGCACTGCAATTCATCTTTTCGGGGGGCCCACTTCGTCGCTCCGCTGACGTAAGGGCGTATCTTGATTTCCGCAAAAGCCCCAGAAAGCATGGATTTATATGTAAAGCATGGCTCACGTGGAAATTGAGATACGCCCTTACGACAAATTGACCGGGAGCCACGGTCTTGACTGTTTGACCGTTCTGCCGTGCTGAAGAAAAACGCCGTATGAGCTTTTAGGCGTTGCCAGATTTCTTTCGCTAAAAAATGAATTCGGTAGAAAGATTGTGAATGTTTTTTGTTGAATTTTTCAGACAATTTTATTCACAATTTGATCTAAATTATCTGAAATTTTTGAGGAAAATTATGACTGGTCAAGTTCTCTCCGGCATACTATGCTGACGTGCTAAGAAAAACGCTGTATGAGCTTTTATGCGTTGCTAGATTTCTTTCGCTAAATAATGAATTCGCTAGAAAAATTTTGAATGTTTTTTGTTGGATTTTTCAGACAATTTCATTTGCAATTTGATCTAAATTATCTGAAATTTTTGAGGAAAAATATGAAAAACTTAACTCAAAAATACATGTTTTATCCAAGGAAAGTTCTCTCGAATGTCCATACAGCGGTTTTCCTTAGCACGGCAGTATGCATATTCGAAAAAAATTATTGAGATTTTCCTTTAATTTTTTAAAGACACTAGACTAAATTACAGTGAAAATTCTCAAAAAAAATTAAATGAAAAAAAATTCTTTAAAGTTTTGGGAAAATTTGAATTTTATTATACAGAGAAAAGTTGGCAAGTTTTAATGATTCATGCGGCGGTTTACCTTGAAACAACAGCGTTTAGTAGAGGGCGTAATTTCCAATTTCCAAATTCTCTCCAGCATACTATGCATATTCGAAAAAAATTTTGGAGATTGTCCATGAATTATTCATACACACTAGACTGAATTGCAGGGAAAATTCTCTAAAAATTCAAAGAAATACAATTCATCAAAGTTTCTGGGAAATGTCGATTTTACTAGCAAACATTTGGCAACTTTTTATAATGATTCATACGGCGTTTTACCTTAACACATCAGCGTTAGTGGAGGGCGCAAATTGCTTCAATAAAAACAAGTGGGTGAATTGCAGTTCGCACATTTCAAGGACTCCGGAAGTATCCTTACACCTCGAAGATCCTCTTCGGTATAGACACTTACACCGCCGCACCGCGCGAACAAACAACAGTTTTACTACCCGATCTCGGATCTCATCTCTCAACAGGTGCCGATGGATCACGTTTCAAGGTCTCCTCAATGTCAGATGAGGCCAGGTTGGTCATAAGCAAACGCCCCTAAAAGGTTCGTGTTACTCAATTGAATTTCGGAAAGATTCTCACTTGTCAAAAGATGGTCGATGATTGGGACTGTTCTGCTACGCTAAGGAGAAACGCCGTACAAGTAATCATTGGCGGATCTAGCAAATTGGCAACACTGTCTTTTCTCCATTTAAACCTATGGAAATATATCGATCCTTGGAGGGGCCAGGTGCTCCAACAAGAATCAATTATTTAGCGTAGGTTTAAATGGAGGAAATCCGGTGTTGCCAAATTGCTAGATCCGCCTCTGCGAGTAATCAGGCGTTGCCATGCAAATTTCCTTCGAAAAACGATGCATTTTTACGAAAATTTGTGAATATCTGTCTTTCAATTTTTCGGAGGATTTCGTTTGAAATTTGATCTGAAAAGTCTGAAAATCTCAAGGAAAATTATTTATAAATGTCTTCAACAACAAATCTTTTCTTGGAGGAAATTTGACAACATTCGAATACTCATACGGCGTTTTTCCTTAGCACAGCAGTGTTTGAATCATTTTGATCGCATGATCATGGAGCCAATGAAAATTTTTACTTGAGTATACCTTTAAAGGAGGAGTAGGGCCACTTACTGGGCCCATTGTGGTAATCCTAATCATCCAGAAAACAGCTGTGACTATGGAGGATTGGAAGAGGCTGCTTCAAACCTGCTCTGGGTGGATGCTTTTGAGATTTTATAATCCGTAATCTTTGAATACCACTACACCTGCTCTTAGGAGCTCATTTTGTCTACTTTTTGAAATGAAGGCGAATATATATTGCGATAAGCACACAGCGCCGGAAAAGGTATGGAAAACTTGTTAGATGAAAAACGAAAGTAGAACGGAATTAGGTAGATTTTGAGAAAGAGGCATGGAGACCAGAAACGGTTGGAGGAGCCAATATGTTCGTGGGAAAGGTAGCATCTCTGAAAATCTAAAAAAATCTACATAAATAATTGACTATGATCAAGTTTTGGGACCTTAGTATGTTTTTCCCACCAAAAAACGTAACTCCATTTCAATGTTACTAGATTTTTCGGCGCAAATTTCATTTTTAACCAGAAGAGTTTTGAGAATTTTTTCCTAGAAATTTCACTAATTTTTCTTCAGATCTTATTCAAAAATCAGACAAATTTTTGAAGAAAATTATGCGAATTTACTCCCGCAAAAAAGGTAGTTTTTTTCAATCGATTTTGTAACATTAAAGAGGAGTCGCGTTCTTCCGTGCCAGAGACGGAGATGACGAATTGGACTACATTTTGCAATTAGGAACTATAAATTCCGGCCCGGTTCAAGAACAACGTATGTGCCCTTGGTTTCCCAATTGTATAAGTGTTTTTTTAGATGAGCCAGAACTTGTAGGTCCAAATTGCAAAATGCGGTCCAATTGACGCGCCTGCGTCAAATTGGCGGAGGATTATGTTTACAAGGCCCGTCTGCCTCCTCTTAAGGGTTGGACATCTAAATTACTCGTACATTTGCTGGTCTTTCCGCAACGGTGTGTAAGCGCTCCGATAAAAACTCATATTCAACGGAGAGTGAGCTGTTATCGACGGCTCAAAATTCCCGTTCCTCGGGTCATTACAACCCTCCCTCACGCGCTGCAAATTAAAGTGGTTTATTGGATGTTTATCGAAAACTACTTAATAGCCACTCGATCGGCGGGAAAACAAGTTGTTGAAATCTCGACTCGTAACAAGCTATCAATTTGCACCCGCACCTGGTTTCAGAGTTTTTCCTTTTTTCCTGGACGAAGCTGTTATCGCTCGTCTGATTCACTCACTATAGTTTGCATCCGGCAATCAGAAATGCGGATGAAAGCTACTTTGCTTAACTTTTTGCGACTGCTATATGAAAAAAAAAATTAAAATTCTTGAAAAACTGTGAAAGGGGAATTTTTTCGGAATTTGTTTTAAGAAAAACAAATTACGAGAGGGAAAATTTGAGTAAAAAAGTTAAAAACTGGAAATATCTACTGAGGGTCTTGGAGGACAAGGCACGTAAGTGCAGATTTTGAAAAAAATGAGGTATTAATGATTTCAAGTAAAGTGAGTCGTAATGCATATTCTGTGAAAAATTCGGTCCCAAATTCCAATTTTCAAGCATCACGTTTATTTCCGTCGTAAGGATCCACGTACTTTCAAAACTGCAAACACGTATTTGTCGAAACACCAAAAACTGTACTTATGCGCTTTGTCCTCCAAGTCCCTCAAATATAATTTTTAAACAGCTAATATTTAAAAAAAAAAAAGTGTTGGAAAAATTCTTAAAAAATTCACTGCAGTTTTAAAGACATTTTACGTAAATTTAACTTTAAGAAATACTGAACAGGAAGTTCTCTTTTTGTGATTTTGACAGTTTTTCACAATTCTTGATGAGAGGTTTTTAACAGTCATTGCCTCTCGAGTACACTGTCAAAAATCTGAGAGTCCATCTTACCAATATTCCTAATTCATTTGTGTCCCACTCAGTACGAGTTCAATAACGTACACTTCAAATCACTCTGAGTGTAATTAACCATACTTTTTTAAAAAGTATGGTTTATTAAACGCAAAAACGCCGTAAACGCCATTTTAAATTTTTTGGAAAAAATTATTCATAGCAGAAAAACTTGTGTACCATGGGACAATTTTTTTACAAAATTCTTTCTCAAATACTATCAAGAACTTAACCTGAAAATTTGAGGTGCATGGGTAAAATAGTTTTTATTTTATGAAGTGTTAACTTCCAAAAAACGAGGGAAAATCTTGATGGATTTACGGCGTTCTTGCTTAACACGGGAGACTACTGTAGTTGTTTTTTCTCCGTCTATGCGTTCACATCTCCAGAGCGAAGTGTATTTGTCCACCAAAAAGCTCTTTTCATATTTTCATGATCGATTTTAACTCCGAGAAAATGGCCCGCATTTCTGTCTGCGCAACTTTCCCTGGAGATCACTTGCTCTAACGTTGTTGCGTGTTTTTGATTTCAGAAAAGTGTCAATTCTCCCACAAAAAACGCCGAAAGGTTACTCGGTACTGATGGGCCGATTATCCAAAACCGAAGTGAGTGAGTTCTTCCTGGACGACAGCATCAAGCTGAAACTCATGGTCATCGACCAGTTCCTGAGGGATCACGGTCCATCGAACGGGATGGTCTTCTTGTTCGACATGACCGGTGTCTCCTTTTCCCATCTGAGCAGGATCAGCCTCTCTTCAGTCAAAAAATATTGCCAATACATTCAGGTAATCAGAAATATCCTTCCGCAGTAAATACCACATTTTACTACTTTAAGTCAAATCTAGTGTTAAAACATTATAAAGCAGATAAACCTGCAGTTATGCGAGCTAAAGGATCTCATTGGCAAGGTTTACAAAGCTCCCAAGAACAGAAATAATAATTGCACCCAAAAGACGAAACCTCAAAGCAACGCCGCGCCGTTGAAAATCATCCATCAACGCGGTGTTTTAATACAACTATTCCGACGTGCAAGAGCCCACTTTTGCATATTCTGTGCATTGAAGGCAGATCTATTCGCTCAAAAAAAATTCCTGAAATCACCTATGTTTAACGTGAATACTAACTTTGCAGTTTTCTCCTAAAGTCCCGGTGCCAATAAAAATATCGTGGAAATTTGTGTGAGGTGACGTAAAACTAGAGACGCCAATTTTTTTTTTTTTTTTTTTTTTTTTTTTTTTTTTGTATAAACTGTATAAGATTGCCTCAGGAATCATTTCCCTAATGTTCTGTCGTTGTTCCTACAGGAAGCAATGCCCATCAGACTTAAGGCTATTCACGTCATCAATGCTAACAGTGTGATGACATCCATTATGACTTTACTCAGGCCGTTTATCTATAAACAACATTTGAAGAGGGTAAGTTTAGTTTGCTCATTTTTGTGGATGAAATAGTTCGTGAAAAATCTTTTCACTTTACAAACTACCCATCACTTTTTCTTAGGCCAGCCAGTTCCCAATTTACAGCGGATTTCAAATGAGTTTCATGAATAGCTGCACTTTAGCTTTTTTACACTCCGGAAGGAAGGATATTAACTTCGTTTACAAACCCTATGCTATAATTACACTAAGCGACATTTTGCCAAGTTTAGTGAAAGTATCTGACCGAGGTATAAGAATTCTATATACCTATCAAGCAAAAAAATATTCCATTTGCGCATGTAAAGTGAACAAGAAATTACTAAAGAAACTCATTCCCTACTTCAACTGTTCTATTATCTTGATTTATTTCTAAAAATAAGCCGCCAGCTCTATAGATTTCGATTCAGGAATTACATTGACAAACAACTTAGCATCAACGTATTTAGCATGGATAAACGCTTTGAGCCATAAAATCATACCCCTTGAACTTTTTTGACCGTATCCATTTTGAGACGCATGACCTTGATTCGGTAATCACACTGAGGAACCCTCTGGTTGAGTTGTAGAAATTTCAACGCAACTGGTTTAATGGCCCATAACTCATTATTTAAAAGCGATGATAAGTATTTACCTTCGTTACTCGGGTACTGAAGGAAATACTGGGCGATTATTTTTCGCTAACGCCTTCGAAATCAATAATGAGCGATTCTCTACTTTCAGATCCACCTGCACTCGAGTGATAAAATAAAGGAAATCTACGAATCAGTTCCTCAAAATATTTTACCCAAAGATTACGGTGGCGAGGAAGCATCATTTGACACTATGAGCAGTAAGTACTCACTCTTAGTTCAGTAATGTAAAAAGATATAGATCGTGAACTTAGGGTCTGGTTGCAATTCCGGGTTAGGTCTATCCACATAAAAAAGTAGATACATACTTAATTTTACCTCGTTTGCATTTTACATAAGCCTAATTATCATCACGAACGAGACTTCGCTGTCTTATAGCAGAGAACGCCCACAAGAGATCAAAACGAAATTTGAATATGGAGCTGTTGCATGTGTGAGAAATTTGCGATTTGACTGTTGATTCTTATGTATAAGTTCGCGAGAAACACCATGGTGCCACTGGTTTTCACTGAAATCAACTCCCAAGCTCAAAAAAAGCTCTCAAGTTGAGGCCAAAATAGCCGGGGATATCCCACGCTATCCTGAGAGTCCACGTCTACATCAAGACAAACTCTCCATGCAAAAATAGGGAGCAAATACATTAGCAGGGTTGCCGTGTTTTCAGTTTTGGAGTCGCCAAATTAAGTGGCAGACCTGTCAATGTATTTTCTCCCTATCTTTGCAAGGAGGGTTTGTCTTGATGTAGACGTGGACTCTCATGGTAGGGTGGGATATGGATATCCTCTCCATTTTGGCCTCAACTTGAGAGTTTTTTTTGAGCTTGGGAATTGCTTTCAGAGAATACCAGTGGCACCATCGTGTTTCTCGCGAACTTTTACATAAGAATCAATATGGTCAAATCGCAAATTCTTCACACATGCAACATCTCCATTGAAAATTTTATGGCGTCATCTACCACGATAGTGACACCCTTGGTTACTTCCACCATGCTTTATCCGAGTTTCACGTTGAGTAACTCGTACAAACATGTGTCTCACTAATTGATAGAGGCAAGGTGGAAGAAACCAAGGGTGTCACTCCCGCGATGGATGACGTCATAAACCCGACTCTTCAAAAGACGATATCTCGGTTAATATTGGACTTGGAAAGTTGCTGTTTGGTCAGATCTTATTAGTTTTAGCTAGTCTACAAGAATCAAGCATCAAAACACGATTCTGTTACCAGCGCAACTAGCCTAACAGGAGGGATCAAGGTCCCGTGGACGATCACATCTTCAGATACAGAAAGAGGAGACGTAAATACATCAAGTACTCTTAAATACTTTCAAGTACCTTTACGAACCATGCTTGGATCGGTCGGCCACGGCCGGGAAAGGGAAAATGAGTCGGCCACTCCCGCTCTCATCGTCTCGGATAACGTTCACGCGACACGGAGACGAATCCTGAAGGCCGCTCCGCCGGTCAGTTTGTTTATACGGACGCGGGTCATCGGGCCCGCTGGGTCACGCGTCGCAACGCTGTCCATTCCATTTTCAAAATCAAACCTCACCTTAATTGCCGCACTTTAATTCGACTTTCTAGAAATCTGGCAGCGCTGCTATTAAATAAGTGACGGGATGAGCGAACAGTTCGGATGGGTGAATTAAGGTAACGATCTCGAACTTGCCGACCTCGAACGTGACGCCTCACACTGAAAAAAAAATCTCGGTGTATTTACTAAGAAAAGGGTAAAATTACCAAGAATTCAGGGTTCTATTTGATCCCAGTTTTTTCTTGGTAAAATTACCATTTATGGAATTGGTAATTTTACCGAGAAATCTCGGTAAAATTATTGACTTTCTTGGTAATTTTACTGTACCCCGGTAAAAACGCCAATATTTTTTATCGACTGTGGTAGAATTACCGAGATAAAATGGCAAACTTACCGGGAATTGATTACCAATAAAAGTGGTATTGTTACCTGAAGAGAACAGTAAAAATACCGGTTTTTAAGTAAGCTTACCAGTCTGTCTTGGTAAAATTACCAATAATTGGTAAAAAAAAAAGTGAAATAGTAAAAGGTACCATCGGACCTTGGTAAAAACGCAGGGAATTTTTTTTCGGTGCAGCCACTTGATGTCCGATCCGATGGTGCGATGGTCCATCTGAATGTATGTAAAACAATCGATTTATATCGAGGCAGGCTGTCGTACCGAGAATCGATTAATCGTGAGAGATATTAACGGAGGGAAGATAGGGGTAACAATTTGCGGGAATGGCTTGTCAGCGGGTCGATTTATTGAAATTTATGGACAAATCTGCGGACAAAGAAAACAAAAGGGATTTTGAAGGATCCTATTGGTGAGAGCGGGTGGTTGAAATGGAAAAATGAGGTAGGTAATAGACTAACCAACGGCAACTCACGAGAGGCCCTTTAGTTAGTCCATCAATTTCTCCCTTAGTCTATAGGAACCACCCATTTCAACCAACAGGATCGCTCCATACTCCTTATGTCTTCTTTGTCCATAGCTTTGTCAATCAATTTCAATAATCAGCCTGCAGTTGGGATAGCAAGTTGATGACTTTGGGTTTTGTCCATTTGTATGAATGTAAAACAATCGAGTTACATCAAGACCGGCTGTCGTGACAAGAATCGATGTCTCATGGCGGATTGAAATCAAGGGATTGCAGTGTCAGAATTTTTTAGAACGGAACACTGGTTGGAATGGTGAGTCGATGACATCGGGCTTTGTCCATTTCAATGTATGTAAAGCAAGTCTATCCAGATCGATATAGTAGTCTATAGCGTGCTATCTGGACCGATATCCATCTGGGAAAGGTGGTAACACTGGGCTTTGTCTAGTTAAATGCATAACGTCTCGGCGGAGCACACTCCGAAGTTAAGACGACGCGCGGTGAAAAGTGACTACTCGGAGACTTTAACGCGGGGATAGAAAAGTAAACAAATCTGAATTACGTTACTATAAGGTGGTAACACTGGGCTTTGTCTATTTAAATGCATAACGTCTCGGCGGAGCATACTCCGAAGTTAAGACGACGACGCGACGCGCGGTGAAAAGTGACTACTTGGAGACTTTAACGCGGGGATAGAAAAGTAAATAAATCTGAATTACGTTACTATAAGGTGGTAACACTGGGCTTTGTCTATTTAAATGCATAACGTCTCGGCGGAGCATACTCCGAGGTTAAGACGACGCGCGGTGAAAATGACTACTCGGAGACTTTAATGCGGGGATAGGAAAGTAGACACAGCTGAATTACGTTCCTATAAAGCCCATTCGAGTGAAGAACGTTCATGGGTAGACAGTAGACACTTTTCGTTCATGATGCAAAGCGTCCACAAAATAGGCTCCTTTGTATGCATAGATAGAGTGTCGGTGACTGTTCGTAAATGTTCTGCTGTGAGAGTGAATAGAGCAGTAAGTGTCAAATTCTCGAAATTGAGTTTCCTTCAAAATTTGTCTTAACTCTTTTAGATAAAATCACTGAAATCGCTGAAACAGCAAAATTTATCTTAATTGAATCAAAACGAGGCATATGAGAAAGCCGTTAGAGCGCAAAAAATGACGTAGTTTCAGGCAAGACAGCTGCAGTAAGTGACATTATTCCTCCAGAGAGCCAATGAAAACAGTGCTTTCCTATGGAGAGTCGCCCTCTTCTGCCAATGGAAATGTTGCATGTATGAGGGATTTGCGATTTGACTGTTGATTCTTATGTAAAAATTCGCGAGAAACCCGATGGTGCCACTGGTTTTCTCTGAAATCAACTCCCAAGCTCAAAAAAAGCTCTCAAGTTGAGGCCAAAATGGAGAGGATATCCAACCCTACCCTGAGAGTCCACCTCTACATCAAAACAAACTCTCCATACATAGATACGGAAAAAATACATTGACAGGGCTGACACTTTATTTGGGGACTCCAAAACTGAAAACACGACAACCCTGCTAATGTATTTGCTCCCTATCTTTGCTCGGAGAGTTTGTTTTGATGTAGAGGTGGAATCTCAGGGTAGAGCGGGATATTCCCTCCATTTTGGCCTCACTTTGAGAGCTTTTTTTGAGCTTGGGAGATGATCACAGAGAAAACCAGTGGCACCATCGTGTTTCTCGCGAACTTTTACAAAAGAATCAATGGTCAAATCGCAAATCCCTCACACATGCAACATCTCCATTAGTTCTGAATCGCTCGGAATCTCTGTCTCATAGACACGCAGCCCGCATCTGTCAAGGTCAATAGACGAGGAAAGTAAATAATCAGCCTGCGGAGAGCCAATGAAAACAGTGCTTTCCTATGGAGAGCCGCCCTCTTCTGCCAATTTCTATACACATACATATATTCGTACTCTATTCTTAACGGATGAGCGGTCGGCACGACGGTCTAGCCGCTGTCGATTGACGAGACGCGTAGCGGCGCTCTGTGCTGTTGGTGGCTCTAACGTCTAACCTCGGCCCAATTAACGCAGCCTGCCAAACGTGTTTTCACAATCCGTCGCTCCTCTGGCGTAACGGCGCATCACAGTTTCCAACGTGAGCCCTGTATCACATATAACTCCGTGCTTCCTGAGGCTCGTGCGGGGAGCGAGATACGCGTTTACGTCAGAGGAGCGACGAATCCACAATCCATCTGACCACTCCGCACTCGCTCCTCCTTGCATGACCCCTCCAGACTCCAAGTTCAACGATGTTTTCATGAGCACCCGGTGTTTTTTTTTCTTCTTCATACTTCGCTCTTTTGATATCCCAAAAGCCCGCCGACCGAGGCGTCGTGACAATAGAACACTATTTTATTAAGACCCTGTATCGTTAGCTTCCGGCCGAAATCACAAGCTCTATTTCGTCGCCCCTCTGACGTAAGGGCGTATCTCGATTTCCACGTGAGCCCTATTGCCCATATAACTCCATGCTTTCCAGGGATTATGTCGAAATCCAGATACGCCCTTACGTCAGAGGGGCGACGATTTTGTGCTGAGTACTGCTCTGCCGTGCTAAGGAAAAACGCCGTATGAGCCTCTAGGCGTTGCCAAATTTCCTTCGACAAATTATGAGTCTTCGGGAAAATTTGTGAATATTTTTTCTTTCAATTTTTAGGAGGATTTTGTTCGTAATTTTATCTATAAAGTCTGGAAATTTCATGGAGCAATATGCGTAACTTTCGTCAAAAGTACATGTTTTATTCGGGGAAATTCAGCAACTCTCGAATGTTCATACGGCGTTCTTCCTTAGCACGGCAGTGCTGAGGCACTATGCCTCCTTGCTAAGGGAAAACGCCGTATGAATATTTGAGAGTTGCCAAATTGCCTCCAATAAAATGTATATTTTTACGGAAAGTAATGAAATTTTTTCCTTGAAATTTTAAGGAGCGTCAGAGGAAATTGCGAACTAAATTACCTGAGAAAGGGGAGGGAAAATGTTCATAAGTTTACCCAGAAATTCTTGTTTTATTGAAAGAAATTTGGCTACGTCTGAAGGCTCATACGGCGTTCTTCCTTAGCACGGCAGTATGTTGCCGAACTTCACAAAAAAGAGGAATTGATAAGAGCCAGTATTAAGCCCGCTCTGAATCTCCTCAACTCTTCGAGTTTTAGCTCATTGAAGGTTTACGAAATTCATCGTCATTTGGTCATTTCCAGTCTCTTTTTGAGTCTAATACTGGCTTGAAAATGGGTCTGAAGGCCGACTTTAGCGAAAAATGTGTGTTTGCGGTTGAACGTCGAAAAATCCGCATTTATCGCCAAAATCGCGTAGCACCGCGACGTAGGTGTAGGTGACAATAAGTAATCTTATATTGACGCGTGCGATTTTTGAAATAATCGAGCAATCTACTATCGAAAAATCGTTTTAAAAATATAATTTATTGAAATCTATTAAGCTGTCTGAATAACCTATTAATCATCGCGTGTTTAGCGGACAGAATGCCAATGCTTAGAAACGAAAGGTTCAAAAATTGTTGTTTTTTATGGAGGAGGGGAATACCCCATACAAAGCAGCTTTCTATTTACTTAAAGTCGATTTTTCAATTGATCGCTCGGATCTACCTTGTAGTGTGCGCTACAGCGCATCAAGATGACACCTATACCTAGGATTGCGGCCTAAACAACCTTCGCGGTAATTCAATATTCCGAGGATCATTTACGCAAATCGATCGTAAGTAGGAATCGGAAGTCATTATGAGCCGCTATCAAGGCCGTGAGATTTGCAGTTTAACCATCTGACCGTGCGTCGATTTTTTCGGTCACCCATTCGGATGCCCTCATCGAAATCTAATGTGAGCATCCGCGAAAAGAGGACCTTCGTCCGCGGGCACTCAAAAATGAGTCATAGATACCAGTGGCGATTCTCGGAAGTTGGCAACGCTGTTTTTCTCCATTTGAATCCATTAAAAATATCGATTTTAGGTCGATTTCAAGGCCTCGCCATAAATCGATTGTTTTACTTACACTTAAATGGAAAAACAAAGTCACCAATTTCCAAAAACCGCCACTGATTTTGATACCAGAGAACAGCAGGATGTTCTGCGAACATTTTGGGACGAAAAATGCCCGAATATGTTAGCCTAAACCTGTACCTATTCTGTCGTGCTAAGCAAGAACGCCGTAAATCCGTCAAGATTTTCCCTCGTTTTATAGAACTTAACACTTTATACCATAAAATTTTTTTACCCATGCATACCTCAAATTTTCAAGTTAAGTTCTTGATAGTATTTGTGAAAGAATTCTGTAAAAACATTGTCCCAATCAAGGTACACAAGTTTTTCTGTTATGACACGTTGTTTCCAAAAAATGTAAAATGGCGTTTGCGGGGTTTTTGCGTTGCACGGCGGTATTACGGCAGTTTGAAGTTTCCATCGCAAGAAACGTGATTTTGAGAAACAGTTATTTAAAATTCTGATCTGTCAATAAATATTCAAGATGTATAATCTGAATATAAATTTCAAAAATCAGCCCGTAGATGGCGCTTACCAGGTTGTGAATCTCCACTCTTCACCAATAGCGAGGCGTGCTTTGCGATATATCGATTGAAATGCCATTTGAACCTGTGTTAAAGGATCGATAAACAGGGTGTTCGCAACGGACACCTTAATAATCGATTCATTACCGCAGCTTTAAACGGGGGAAATATTGATAATCGATCACGCGCGCCTCGCTACTGGTCCTCACTTAAAGAAATAGAGATTTTAAGATGGCACTAAGGCGGCTAAAAATGTTTTTTTCTTTCTTTCTTGCAGGAGAGTCGGTTGAGAGACTGAAGAAGAACTACGAAGCTTTCGAGACGGAGGACAAGACCTACGATCTGCTCGCGACGACGCCTGAATTCTCGAAGGCCGGCAACAAGAGCAGCAAGAAATCCTCGAAGAAACAACAAGAGGACGTCCAGATCACTTTCAAAAAGCTGGAGTTAGATTGAGCTTCTGCCACCAGTCGCATCAAACTAATTTCGTCGTTTCACTCACGAAAGAACGTAACTTCATTCCAATGTTGCCGAATCTCCGCTCGCATATTGCAAATTAACCAAAAGGATCTTGGCATTTCCAACTGAAAACATTGATTTTTCCTCACATTTCATGGAAAAATCAGACAATTTTTGGATAAAAAGTGGACAGGTATTTATAGAATAAATCAATTTTCATGTGAATTTGGCAACCTTGGAATGGAGTTACGTGCCTTCGTCCGAGAGACGACGATTTCAGAGCCATAGCTCAGAAATGTCACGTTATCTTGCTCGATAAGTATCGATTAATTTCTGTTGATAGAGTTGAAAGAGCTTACGTCATTGTTTGGAGCCAATGCGACACAATATACCTATTTTAATGGATACCTTATTTCTGAATCAGTCTTCCATTATTGGTTTCGCAAAGAGCCCGCTTTTGTGGCATACAGCTAACAAGTTTCGCACCGTTATAATCGAGCAGCAGCAACCCTGCGGAAAAAAAAAAAAAAAACANTTTTTTTTTTTTTTTTTTTTTTTTTTTTTTTTGCAAAATTCAGTTTTCGCAAACATCATTCAGCCGAGGAAGATTGTCTGTAAAAATATTGCAGGAAAACTCCTACTTTATCTACCAAAGACCAATATCAAATGGACTACATTTTGCAATTTGGAACTATAAATTCTAGCTCAGTTTAAAAACAATGTATGTGCCAATGGTTTTCCAATGCATATGAGTGTTTTTGCATATGAGCCAAAATTTACAGTTCCGAATTGCAAAATGCTGTCCAAATGTTCAACGCTTATGCTTAGTTTTAAATTACCCGCAAAGCTCCGACATAAAATTCATCCGAACTCTACCAACTTCCATACGAAAAATTAAATCGTATCAAACCCATATTTGCCAACCGAAACTACGTGCATTATGTCGTGAGCCCTGTTATGCAAATACTCTTATAGGTCTCAGGGCTCATGTCTCAATGCACATAGTTCCGTTTGGCAAAAATACTTCCATTAATGACCTCGCGGTCCGAACAACAACTTGATGGTGAAACTAGATTGGCATGACCCTCAGGCTTCGATTTGGAAAAATTACCGCTACTTTTTCCTTTCCATTCTGGAGTAACCCAAAAAAATATACCTCTATTTCTCGAAATCTAAAGAGACTTTTTATTATTTGACAGTTCTGTCTAAGAATTTGTTTAGAAGCGTCAATACGTTATCTTAGGGCAAATACATTTTAAATGTTAATATCAAGCACCTCAATCGACGTATCTGCCTATAGGGTTTTCTAGTTTGATTGTCAAAATGTTTTCAGAACTCCAAAAAAAATAAACTAAAATTAAATTAATATTTCTGTAATTATCGTAAGCTTTCTAAAGTTAACATATTACAGAATACAGATTAAGTATAATAGCTTTGTACGGGCCAAAAAACTCCACTGTTATTTGCGCATTTCTCCATTCTAAGCATAATTTAGCGCATTCTTTTGTTATTATCATCGAATCATTGAATGTTCTTGGCATTAGAAACTTTTACATTCCACATTTGTCATAAGTAGTCAATAACAGTCTCACTGTACGTATGATATTACATTTCGTTGAGTTTATATTTACTGTATAAGGCTTCGAGTTATGTCTCTACATATGTATAAGCTTTTTTCTTTTTTCAATGTTCTCCTTCTTTTATGTAACCTTGAAATACTTAGAAGATCTAGTCATTAATAACACATTTGAATTTGAAATACATGTTCTAAATTAATTTTTTTGTCTTGACTTTTTCGTTTTTATTCTTTAACTACTTGTAAGTACCACTAGACATTTTAAAATTTCCTTGCCATCAGTAAAATGGAAGTAGGTACACACAATGTTGAATTTTCCTGTTAGTCAAATTGAGGGGTATCAAAGATAAAGTAGTGTAGTAGCATTTTTGTGATTTGTCTCAAAAAAGGCCCACTTTGCCTCTTTTATAGGAACTTAATTGAGAATTTCATTGACATGTGGCATAAATGAAACGTCTTTGTGAGAGAATCCTATGATAAAAGGCTTAAGTCTTGTACGCAAAGATGGTTTTTGTGATACATCATTGCATTTTCTACATCGTTCAGCATCGTAATAAGTATGCGTGCTAAAAATGTAAAACGCATTGCTGTATCATCAAATCCAGCTTTGAGCTCAAACTAAAAATGATTACATTCAGCCATTCCTCCTTACAGAGAATTATCCGTGAGTGCAGCCGTCGATTTTTGAATTCATTTACGGTCATTTACAAATGAAAACGCCATTACACCGCTGAGCAACGAGGGAGCTTACACGTAAAAGTCGTTTCACTTGCATGCTTTTATTTAAAATTATTCATAAATATACGCAAATGAAGACAAGAAAATTAGTTGGATTTTATGTAATGTTTTATCATTTGAAATGACAATAATTCCAACAAACACAAACTGATTGCGGTGGAAGCACGGGTCGTAAAACAGTATGTTGGAGTTTTACAGCTAACGTGCCTTCCTGAATGGTTGTTACTGGTGTTGCACCAAACAGCGTATCTCTTTAAGGGAAATTGTGCTTGTGTGTGAGCTTTTTCACTCTGTATGAGATATCAGGTTTATGCTGAATTCAACGCACATTGGCTAAAAAACTCCAACATACCGAATTCTAACAAACTTTACAAAAACTTCAAAATCATAAATTGGAAACCGCTGACACGGCAAGTTTGAATAATCGCATCCAACACAGTGCGGCCGGCGCGAGGCTGGCGGCGCGAAAATCATAGTAGCGCCTTGTAAGGCCGCAGAACACTTCATGCATTGCGCGTACAGCACGGTGTGTGCAACACGTAGTACAGCGCCTTACAAGTCTGCAGGATACTTCATGCATTGCGCGTACAGCACGGTGCGTTCGGGTGCGTGCAGCGCGTAGTACAGCGCCTTACAAGTCTGCAGGATACTTCATGCATTGCGCGTACATCACGGTGCAGTCGTGCAGTGGTCTGTTGGTGATTTTCCCTGCCGCTTCGAGGAACCAGTCCGCTTCTGATCTTAATTGCAGGAGTTCAGAACTTTGGACGATGTTTACTTTTTTTTTGTTGATGAAAAGGATGAAAAAAACATAGAAAGAGAGACAATATTGCGTTGATTTTTTTTTTCATTTTATTTGAAATCATATAGGAGCTTTTGACTCTCTGTTCGGTTTTAACGGTGATTGAAGGGAAAATGTGTATCTTAATTGCAAAGATTCAGAAACCCGCACAGCGTAATATTATTTCGGGTTGAATGAAAAGAAAATATTACGAACGAAAATATCGCGTCGAAAGTGTCGATGATTTTATTTGGGCTCATTACAAAAAAATCCCTGGAGATTCCTCAAAAAACTGTAAGCGATTTCCTAAAAAACACTGAAATAAAATAAAGCACGAGCAGTGGCGTGTAAAGTTGCGATTAGAGATATATCGACGGTGTATAAGTCGGCAATCACGTAACTCGGATGACGTCGCAGACTTCCCATCATACTTTATTTTTTAGACGGGAAACTACTCAACGGCAATTCTTTAAAACCGCCGTGATTTTCCTACTCTGTGCGAAGAAAATTCTGCAAAAACTTCAAGGGATGATGTCAATTTGTTCTCCTTTAAAAAAATAACATAGAGGCGGAGATTTTCAGACACTGTAAACGATTTATGTGATTACCGACTTACACCGTCGATATACGCTTTCTTGCAACATTTGGGACGAAAATAGTACATTTCGTCTAAAAGATCGAGTTGTTTGAATCAATTTTGCGACCTCGAAATTTAGTCACGTTCCTTCGTCCCGGAACACTGAAAAAAAATTCTCGGCATTTTTACCAAGGTCCGGTGGTACCTTTACCATCTCACTTTTTTTACCAATTACTGGTAATTTTACCAAGACAGGCTGGTAAGCTTACCTAAAAACCGGTATTTTTCCTGTTTTTTTTCAGGTAAGAATACCACTTTTATTGGTAATCAATTCCCGGTAACTTTGCCATTTTATCTCGGTAATTCTACCACAGTCGATAAAAAATATTGGCGTTTTTACCAAGGTCCTGTAAAATTACCGAGGAAGTTAAACAATTTTACCGAGATTTCTCGGTAAAATTACTAATTCCATAAATGGTAATTTTACTAAGAAAAAACTGGGATCAAGTAGAACCCTGAATTCTTGGTAATTTTACCCTTTTCTTAGTAAATACACCGAGATTTTTTTTCTCAGTGAAGCAACGAGTCGTTGTTCCACAAGCTGTTGTTCCACAAGTTGAGTGGTGAAAAGCTTGCTAGCTTATACAGTTTACCTACCAGTGGCGTGGCGTGTTTTGCGATATATCGATTGTTATGCCATTTAAACCTATGGAAAAGGATCGATAAACAGGGTGTTCGCAGCGAACACCGTAATAATCGATTCTTCACCATAGGTTTAAATGGCATAACAATCGATACATCGCAATTCACGCCACGCCACTGTTACCTACAAGCGAAAAGAGGGTGGCATGGAAAACTTTCAGCCCCTTGAAGCTTCATCAGAGAGATTCCTCACACCTGTCATGTCTTAGTAGCTTGATGATTCACCGTCGCCTTAGTAACAAATCAACTCGAGCGCGCCCTCTCCTTCAGTGGAAAACAAACCTCTGAGTTTAACATCAAAAGGGTACAATATGCTCAATCCACAAGTACCACCGTGCATTGAACGTAACCCAGGGAGAGTGTCATAAAAGGAATCCTAACTCTTTGCGTAGAATCATAGTTCATGCCACCTACCTAACTATTCCAACCCATTCCAACGTGACGATACTGGGGTTAGAGCACATGTTGCCCACATTTAACACACACGATTCAAGAAAATAGAGTCAGCTTTCTCTCTCTTGATAGCATTGTCAGGTAGAATTTACACTATGTAGCATTTTTCAATTCTTAGTTGACTAGGGGCTTATGGGGCTGCTTTGCAGCCCCTTATTTTTCATGTACACCCCTCCCTTTCACATTTCCTTTTTTTTATTTATTTATTTTCATTTAATTTTCTGGTTTGTCTTTGAATTAGTCCTAATTTTTTCTTTTAAGTAATAAATTTTAATTTTTTTTTAAAAAATTGTAAGTTTATTTTGTAAACTTAAATTAAAATTGTTTTTAAACCTTCATACAAACTTCTTTTTAAGCTTTTACCTTTGTTTTTAAACTAAGTTTTAAGTATCGATTTTTTTATCTTCTAAATACTTTACTTACTCTGTTTTCCTTTAATTGTTGCTTCTTCTTTTTCGATTTTTGCCGTGCTTTTGTCCAATTTTCTCTTCAACTCTTCTCTTTTTCGTTCCTCCTTTTTTCTTTTCTTCTTTTTTTCTTCTTCATTTTTTGCTCCCTCTTTATCTTCATCCAATTCTTCCGCTTTTTCTTCTTCTTCTTCTTCTTGTTCCTGTTCCTTCTTCTTTACGTTTTCCTATTTTCTCTTTCAGAAGTTTTTTCTTTTTCCAGTTACTTCATCTTTTTTTTTTTTTTTTTTTTTTTTTTTTTTTTTTTTTTTTTTTTTTTTTTNACAATCTACAAGCTGTTCCACATGAATGTTATGAGAAAGAAAAATTGGAGGTTATTGCCTTGATGAGGAAAAATTGGAAATAGTAAAGTTGAGCAGTTGAGTGTTGGAGGTAACCTCATTTAATGATGATTGTTGAATGAAAACAGCTGATAAAAAGACAGCAAAAAGTAAAGTAAGATGCGTAGCAACAAAACTTTTCCGAAAAACAAAAAATAAAAAACCCCTACTTCCCCTCATCCAATTTATGAGTTTTTAGGGATTTAAAAATCGGGGACAAACCCCAGAAAATAATTTATAATTTTCCCGAAGCATTGAGTACAACACCTTTCAAATCAACCAACGCCCCTCGCAATTAGTGCAGAGGTTAATTCACAATTTCATTCTATTTTTCAATTTATATATTAAGATGGAACCAATCATGAAAAACCGTAAAAAAAAAAAAGGCGGGAAAAGAAAAATGTAAGTTGATGGCAGTTGAGTGTTGGAAGTAACCTCACTTAATGATGATTGTTGAATGAAAACAGCTGATAAAAAGACAGCAAACAGTAAAGTAAGATGCGTAGCAACAAAACTTTTCCGAAAAACAAAAAACAAAAAACCCCCACTTCCCCTCATCCAATTTATGAGTTTTTAGGGATTTAAAAATCGGGGACGAACCCCAGAAAATAATTTATAGTTTTCCCGAAGCATTGAGAACAACACCTTTCAAATGAACCAACGCCCCTCGCAATTAGTACAGTGGTTGATTCACAATTTCATTCTATTTTTCAAATTAGATATTAAGATGGCTTTTCAGTCTACACTGAAAAAAGAAGTGCTTGGCTAAAGCATGATGGTTCTTGAATTTGCCGCCAAGAATTTTTTTATCTTGATTTAAGCTGAGTTTTTCTTAATACAAGGAAAGTAAGGCTTGGGTTAAGCAAAAAAGTAGTTTTTTATTAAGCAGCAAAATTCTTGATTTAAGAAAAAATATACTTTTTGGCGGCAAATTTAAGATTCTTTTTTTTTTCAGTGTAATGATTATGGCACAAGACACTGAGCTTTGGAGTGGTTTTTTCTTCTTCTTTACCTTCACGATTGGTATAGATTTAAAAAATGTTGCCAGATTGTTTTAAATGTAATAAGTGTACTACTTTGACTGCTTACCTGGCGGTTTTCTGTAACTATTCAAGTGATCTGCTGTTCAGTCGGAAGAAAACGGGCGGTCTAGCCACGGGTGCTAGAAGAGCTTTAGCACCCTCAAAAATTCTGGCAGGTCGTGGCTTAGGGAGCCCTGGCAAAACCCATATAAAGGAGAAATTTTGATTAGTTAGGGGAGGGGGGCACGAGAGGACAGGCGCCGAAAAACGTATCAGCACCCCAATAATTTTCGAGCCAGACCGACAATAATGGAAGAAAAGATAATTCCATAACTGCTAAGCCTCAGCCAAAACACAACTCTCATAGCTAATAGACTTAATTATTCTTCTTCAAATTTTTCTCGTCCACCCCTGAAAATTAGAAAATTAAAATTTTTATAAAAAAAAAGAAAAAAAGAAAAAAAAACACCTACTTCAAACATTCCGATCATCTATTTAGCTGAAAGAAAAGAACATTCATAACCACTAAGTTGCGGCCTCAAAATGCATCCCAGAGTGAGCTAAGAGTGTCCATTTCTTTCCGCATTTTCCCAATATAATACCAGTAAATATTTGTACTTAATGAGAAATTATTGGTTTTTCAAGAATCTAGGATGATCGGTGATACTGAAAATGTGGGTACATCTAAATCTTCCACGAAAAGTATACCGTCCAGCAGCGATGACCTCAGCCAAATCACCGACGCAGGTGGTGAATCCGTTCTGGCCCCAATTCAGCTTCTGGGAGAATTTTTAACATCAGTAATGACGAAAAACTACCGTTCAGCACTTAAATCTTGCGAGGTAGGTATTATTCTCATAGCTGTGAGGGATATGTTCAAATGTATTCGTTTCAGTGTTCTTGAAAAATTATTTTTATATTATTAAAAATGTCGTAATGAAACTTTCTGGAAAAATTTTCTACTGATTGAACTGCTTATGAACCGGGTGAAAAATTGTATACGAGATGAAAATTTAGATGAACTGGTGCGCTGAGGCGTACCATCAAAAAAAGACTGGAAAATGTTGAAATTTTAAAACCTCGACCTTTCAAAATCAAAAATAATAGAGGTGCAATAATATTAATCAAAGTATTAAGTTTTACAAAACATTCCGAATCATTGCAGATCATACGCGTACCGTCTTAAAAGTTATACAAAATTGTATTACCTCCGCCAATACTTAACTTCTAAAACTATATCGATGGCTGAAGTGCGACACCACGTATCTCCATTGCGATGTTCCAAAATTTCCGTTCCTATTTTATTTTTTTGAAGAGAGGCAAGCCAACTTCATACCTTGCCATTACTACAAAATCCTCTACTAATAGAGAATAAAAAGCAAGAATATTTTAAAGTAAATACATTTAATAGTTCTAACAAAAAATAAGCATGACAGGAAGTCTGCATTCTGCAACGTCGCAATACGCAATTTCGCGCTCGTCGGCCATCGATACGCATGAATATGATCCTACTTAACCTTCAAAACAGCCCTGGTAAAAATTGGCAGTAGAATCTGTGTTCCAAAATACCATAGACCTACAGCCGGCTGTAAGATTTCCAATAGCTGTAATAGCCGGCAACACAATTTCTTATAGCGTTTTATAGCCGATGGCGATTAAGCAACAGCCTGGCGAAAAAGTGTATGCTAAACGTTACTAATTACGGATGCTAGGACTTAGTGAGTTATTGGACTACCGCTCTCTTTTTGGGCCGCAGTATCTTGATTTAATTTCCGTACTTTTGAAGGATGCCTGCCATTCCTAATATGTTGGAGCGCCTTCAATTTCGTATGATACTGTGCAGTACCTCTGGTGTGAAATAGTTGCTTCAAGCGCCGCGGTACGCTGCGGCGCGGCGCGGCGGGCGGGCAGCCAGCGCTGAACGCGCATGCAATGCGTGAAGTATCCCTGTTAGGTTTGTAGGCGCCGATGCGCCGCCGCTCCGTTTTGTGTTAGGCTCTAATATTTAATCTCAGTCAGCGTTTTTCAACTAATGACTTTGAAATGTTTGCACACTCTTTATGGATTATTCTCATTTTAATTGATGAAAAAAAAAAATATGTTGTAAAGGAAAATATAATGTGCGTTTTGTAAATATTAAGGTGATTCCGTACAAACTTAAGGATTTAAAAAGCACAAGAATTTCTAAAGAATTTCTTATAGCCTTTTATAGCCGATGGCGAAAAAGCTTCAGCCAGGCGATAAAGTGTAAAGCCCTGCGATAGGAGCTATAGCCCGGCTGTATAATTTTTTATCGCTTCGTATAGCCCGGCCGTAGGATTTTTTTCCACTTTCTACAGCCAGCTATATGATTTTCTATCGCCCTCTTCAGTCGGCTATAAGAACTCCTATGGTATTTTGAAACGCAGCTCCTATCGCCAAGTTTTACCAGGGAGGCCTTTTGCGCGAAATTTCTATCTCACTTGCTCATTTTCCTTCTTCCATGATTTCTGAAGTTTTATCCAGCAAACTTTAAATTAACTTTGATTTCAGTTAATTCTCAAATATGAGCCAAATTATTCGACCGCAAAAGAATTTTTTCCTCTCCTTCAAGAAAAGTGCAACCAAATTCAAGAGGACGACGATGACGAAAACAACGGTGATGATGATGGTGATGATGAAGATGATGACAATGATGACGACTATACTGATGATGATGGCGGTGACTCCGATGAAGATAATGATGATGATGATGATAATGAAGATAGCACAAGTGACTGTAATGATACTGGGTCTGATTACAGTGATGATGATGGAGATGAAGACAATCAATTTTCTAGTTATTTAATTTAATTTTCTAGTGAGTAGGGTTTTTTATAAAGTAAAAATGAAGCTGGCCGAACTGCTGTCAGGGAAAAGATCGGAACCATATTTACCCGCGTACCATTTTGCAACGAAAATATTAGAATGTAATTCAAAAAAGGGAATGCATGTAATGACGATATTTCCGCATAATTGGTTCCATTAATACAACTTTTGAATGTGAAATTACAAGGAGAAATTATGCAACTTATTTTTTATTGCAATGAATTTTCAATGGCAAGTGCCCCTTCAATTAGTCGATAGGCAACATACACAACACTGGTAAGCAGTGGTAATATTTTTCCCCTGTAGATGCAATTTATTACCAACAGTTCCTCCGTTACTAAGGTTATTTGCTCGCCCTGCAAAGGTCAGCAGATTTTCTTAAAAAGAGAGTCAATTTTCATCCGATTAGTCACCGCACCCCGTCCTCTAAATTCACTTTAATTCCTCAACATTTAAAGAAAAAAAAACACCTATTCTCTGTTTTGATTATTTAACTGTAATTAAATCAGCATCAAATACACAAGTACATTGTAAACAAACATATTTTTGAAAAAATTAGGTATATAAATAAACAATGATAATTTTTCAATTTTTTGACTGTTGTATATAATGTCCCAGTAAGCTTCAACAAGCCTGCAACGGTCCATGTAAAAGAAAAACGAGCGGGAAAGCTCTAATACGTGAGTATTAGAGAAGCGCTCAGCGGTGAGCGCAATTTTAATGAGTCTCAGCTTTAATTTACTACCTTTTGACTGAGAATGTTTAAATTTGCAATAATAAAATTAAAAAGAAAAATGGCGTAGTGCCTACAAGACTGCATGAATACTTCACACATTGCGTCAAAAACAGTGCGGTCCCTTGGTTAGCAACGGTCAGCGTGAATTGCGTGAAACGCATAGCGCCTGCAAGACTGTAGGGATACTTCAAGCATTGCGCCAAACACAGTGCCGTTGGCGCTGTGGCGGAAATCAAGATCGTTAGACCACATTCATGTTTATTCTTATTCATAATTTTTTCGTTCTTTTCTTATAAATGAAAGGCATCGTCCACACAGCGATAGGTCTACGGAACTTAATTTTCGAGCAAAGTTCCGTGAACTTTTGCTAGTGTTGACAGGGTTTTCACAAAAAATGTGCCAAACGCGAGTAAACGCGTCTTATGTACCCCTCCTCCTCCTCTGGCACGTTCACCTGATGGTTTCTATGGATGTTTCAAAACGAATGAGATGGGGCGGCAAAATAATACAGACGTCCATTGGCGGCAAGAAGGTAAATCCGGCCCTGAATGAGATCGGTAAATATCTGTGAGCTGACATTTTGACATTCCATCGTTCAGACAATGAAATGCCAAAATGGAATGATCTACACTCAGGTGTTCAGTGGCGTGGCGTGAAGGATCGATTATCGATGTATCGCCATTTGAAGCTATGGTAAAGAGTCGATTACTAAGGTGTTCGCTGCGAACGCCCTGATAATCGATCTTTTTTCAAAGGTTTGAATGGCGAATCAATCGATACATCGCAAAGCACGCCACGCCACTGCAGTGTAGATCTACTTTTCTCTCCTCGGACTTCAACTGTCTCTCCTTGTGTCATATAATCATAGGCGACTCAACTTTTGGAAAACCACAAAACCGCCCTATGTGCTACATACCTACATACATTGCATGCTGTTGTTTTCAAAATACATAAGGTAATTATGAACGTTCTTACTATTGGTGGACAGGGTTGCACGGATGAAATGAAAAATATGAATTATGAAATTTTCCGTGAAATATTTCACGAAATTTCACAAAATTGTGAAAAATATGAAACATTTATGATACCTACCTATTTACAGGGGCTGAGAATGCAACACGCGCTAAAAAACACCAAAAAGCAAAAACCAGTCGCCTCTCATTTAATTTTGCATTTAATTCCCAAAAATATTTTTCATTACTTTTTATATTTTTCGGAAATTTCAAGATTATATTTCACATGAAAAATTGCAACCCTGTGGTGAACGCAACCCGCGCATGCGCGCAGCGCGCAACAAACATCGGTGGCGCCACCTGTTGCCTAAAAATAGCTCTTATCAGTGATTACAAGGTAAACAACTTAATAACCTATAATTTGCACGTTTTTTTTTCAAGTTTATTGCTCAATCTCTTCATTTCACAGTTCACTCACTACTGACTTCTTCAGAAAAATACTTCTTCTGAGAAATACTTCTGCGAGTTCTTCCGAGTAATTTTTTAAAACCTTTCCGCCCAGTTTCAAAAATGACCGCAGTTAACTGGGAACAGTTTTATCAAAATCAAGCCCCACCGTCTTGTCTGGATGAAGTCGGAAAGAATGTCACTAAATTTTGTGCGAAACATCAAAACCAAAAGATTGTCTTGGTAACGGTAAGCTTTATTCCTTGCTCTCTTCGTATGTCCTTCCTCTTTGAGAAGATCAGAAGTGATTACAATTGACCTCCACCAGACTTGCATGCATCTCCTCCGAAGTTCTTCATTCAATTTTTTCTGCCAAGTCATCATCCAAGGACACTAATTCTCTTATTTCGCAATATCCTTCATAGCTCCTGGATAGATTATCAAGATTAAAATCGAATGAACAGTAAAATTGTCATTTTTTTAAGCTCTGTAAGAAGACTGATCACGCTGACAATCCTAGTAGGGGTTGTGTTCAAGTGTCTTGTAACCAATACTTTCACAATAGCCTCTGATATTTGTTTCCGACAACTAAATTATATACTGTCAACACCTTCTCATATTTTTCCCTCATATTTTCGATTTTTAATTTCATTTCAGTATACTCATTAGGGATGGCTGGATTTTGTTCATTTCTGTCTTTTTCAGTCCTATCTCCCAGCCATCACCTACAATCACCCATTACTTTAATTACTGAACTTGCATCTGATAGCTCCACTCATTATAGCCAGCCAATTGCGTGTAGACTTGTTGCCTCACCACCTGTGACGTCAGCAAGTCTACAAAAGCTTGCGCTGCCCCAAAATCTAGGTCCTTTACCATCTGACCCCTACATGTACGATGTGCCCTCTTTCGCCTTATGCACTTTTTCTAAGTGACTACTCTTTGTAAATTCTGTAACTTTCCAAATTCTTTAATACAATCTTTTCGGCCCTTCAAATATTTTCAATTATTTGCTCTCCCACAACTTTTTCAAATCGAACTCTTAATATCTGACTTACACCCTATCTCAAGGCATGCCTTTTCAGTTATTCATATCTCCGACATCCCTCGTGGATAAGTTCTTAGCAACAGTTGTCCTTATCAAAGTAGGAGATAGTTTGCACTATTTTCGAAATGTTGATGTAGGTCATCGTTCATGCTTTTGCTTTGCAACCTTCCCCTTGACCTTATCCCTCAAATTACTGCTCATCAAAGAAACAGGAGTCTCTTCCTCTGGACTGATAATCACTCTTCTGATTCAAGCGCAGTTTTTGTAAACTTTAGCATTTCTTTTAAGTGCCGACTAAATTCATTGACCAAATTAATTCTTTATGAACTCCTCAGAAAATGATGTATCTTTTGAGCCACTGTGTCAGTGGAAAATGTGTTAACATTTTCAACTAATATCATATACATTTTCTTTGCAGTCAGGTGGTACCACTGTCCCTATGGAACACAACACCGTTCGTTTCGTAGATAATTTTAGCGCCGGGTCAAGAGGCTCTGCTTCAGTTGAATACTTCCTCAAAGCTGGTTACGCAGTTATATTTCTTAATAGGTAAGTTGTACAAGGGCTTGGAAACTGCAAGTGTTGGAGGTAAAGCAAAGAAGATAAAAGAACAAAGTGTTAAAGTATATCAAAAAAGCAAATTTTATTTAGAGGTTCGGTACTACTTTTGTGCCCTCGTCTCCGATCTGTCATTCAAAGAAGATAAAAGAACAAATTGTCAATGTATATCGAAAAAGCGAATTTTATTTAGAGGTTCGGTACTACTTTTGTGCCCGCAACTCGGAGCTGTCATTCTATTTGAGTTTGGAACTTCCGATTCGGTGACTAACGAATCGCAACGTTGGTGTGTTATTTTCATACCGCCTAGCAAGGTGTTTCTTAAAATGGTTCGACCTATCAAAAACCAACAGATCTGATTGGTTGAATCTGATAACAACGTTGTGTTCATGATTGATGAGACTTACCGGTACAGAATTTACCAAAGAGGTTCGGAACTTTAAATAAAAGATGCTTAATGTGTTTTATTACCTGAACTTGTTAAGTATTGTCCTTCCTTTGTCATCCCTGTAAGATGATAGTCAAATCACTGGCAACTATTTGATTATTGGACCTGATCATACACCTACATGTCTGATTGACCATCGTTTTGTACGATGGAATTTCACTGTACAATGTCAAATTATTAAATTAAGCAGATTTTATTATACCTTACATCCTGTGATTCCTTTTTCAAGTGAGTGGAGCTAGTATACTTTTTCCCTAATTTTTTTTAATTGCTTAAAATTTTCCAGAATACCTTCATTAGCTGTAAGTGACCACTTTTTCAGCTCTGATATAATCATCTCCTGCACAAAAGAATATATCGTGTCTGTGCTGTTTTGGTATTTCCTCGAGCATTTTATTTTTTCATGAGAGATTCATCCCCCAAATTGTCTGAAAACTTTAGCGTCTTTTCTTACAAGTGTAAAGAAAAATCACTGGAAATGTTTTTCAAATTCATGAAACGATTCTCCCGTAAAAAAATACAATGTCAGTAAGAAATACTGAAAAGGCATCATCGATCCTTAATGCAGGAGGCTACAATATATAAAGTAAAGCAGTCTTTTTTTTGCTGTGTGTAAAAGCTATTTTTTCTTGTCTTGTCTCATCCATGCGTGATTGATTATTTCCTGGACAGGTTGAATTCCCTGCAACCATTCATCCGCCACTTTCCAAAACAGGAACTCTTTGATTGCCTGGATGTATCCGATAGTCAACAAGGCCCACAAATTACCGGTAAGATTTTAAAGTCATTTCATCAAATGCTTCAACTTCAGAATTGTTGGCTGTAAATTATTTTCACAATATAAATTCTAGAGATCAACTTTTAAGTCAAAGCTCCACTTATTCAATCCAAATTGATTAAGCGCAAAGCACAAAACTAGACAAAGGCAAAATGCAAATCAAATTGGCTGTAATTCTACTCAAGATGACCGTTGACAACTTAGATGTTAATTCATGCATTATTCCACTTGAATACAGTTTATATCCATGTATATTATTTAGGCACATGGTATATTTAAAGAACACTCAAATCAATTACACTTCTGATGCTCTGCTGTTAAAACAATACCCCTGTAATTCAGTTCCAGTTTTTTTAAATTTTTTCACAAATAGAATGTTCTTCTACAAGGAAGCCATTGAATTTTGAAACCAGAGCAGCTGCATCATATCAATGGCAATCCTTACCAAAAAATTGAAGCATGAAAGTGGTCAGGCAATGCGTAATAAACTGGTCAGTTCGAAAAAATAATTACATAATCTGGAATGAAGTCTCCACTTTGTTGCTTTGGATAGTATATAGGTCAGGTAATTTTTAATAAAACTTTTAAAACTATCTCTGTCAATTCAGAATCTTGTCATGAATGACCCACGAAAATCGATATCCTTTTCCTCTTCATCCTTTCTCTTTTATCAAATGATAGCCATTCGATTTTTTTTTTTTTTTTTTTTTTTTTTTTTTTTGTAATTAAATTTTCCTCATAATTGAAGAGGCTATTTAATATTGAAGGGAGGAGGGAACCTCTTTTCACAAAGTTTGAAAGTTTATTTTCATGTTTACTCCCGAGTGATTACAACTACTTTTATCTGTTTTTCCAGTCAACGCAAGGAAGGGCCAAAAGCTTGTAAGAATCTTGAAAGAGTACAAACAAGTGTCCAAAGAGGAGAAGTTAATGAGTGTTTCATTTTCAACTCTCTCTGAGTATCTGTGGCTGTTGCGAGTTATAAGCCAAGAATTAAACGCATGCAAAAAGCATGCCCTATTATATCTTGCCGCTGCAGTATCAGACTTCTATATTCCAGAAAGCAAACTGGTAAGTAATTTCATCTTTAAATTTAATGGCAAGGCTAGATATTAATTCGCCGAATGTATTTTTCTTTCAAACTTTTCAGAACCCACTGAATCGAAAATTTTCCGCAGGGAGCATGCTAAGCAATCTAATTTTGATATACTTCATGATGGAAAGTGTTTTTCAAGGCTCTGATTTGGATCCAGTCTAATAGGAACACACTAAGTCGCATCTCAGAAAAAAATTAGTTGGATGCAGTTTTGAACTCAAGTAGTCAAGAATTTTCTCCTGTCAAAACCCAAAGTTAAGTAAAATTATTCTGAATGTGAAAATAGTCGTTGAACTATATCCTCAGCATTGAGTCGTATAATGAAAAAAAACTTCCAACATCTTTTTTTCAGTTCAAACTTGATGCAACTTCGTGCGTTTTGTTTAAACTTGGTTCATTATTGAGCCGTTAATTTGGAGTTTTTTGACATTAAGGTATCGATCTAGTGTATTCCTTTAAGCGGTCTCATTTTATGAGGTTTGAAAATTTCTTTTGTCATTTGGTCACTGGTTACCACCAAACTGCATCAACATTTTTTAACCTTGAGCTAATCCCAATTTTTCCTTTTTCCTTTTTTTAAAGCCAACACATAAAATTCAATCTAATGTGCAGTCTTTGCAAGTGTCTTTCAATTTGGTGCCAAAAATGTTGGAGCCTCTAGTCTCTCTATGGGTCCCAGACGCATTTGTAGTCTCTTTCAAGTTAGAAACTGATGAGAGTATTCTCATATCAAAAGCAAGGGGTGCACTGGAAAAGTATTCTCATAAGGTAAGTTCATTTCTTCTGACTTTGAAACTTTTCAGTCACCTACGGCCGATATTAAAAGTTTATAGCAGCAGGAGAAGACTTCGAAATGCAATATATCGCATAGTTTAGATGGGGCTGTGTCTTGTCTTGTTGTGTGGACATAGTTTCAATAATTGGGCCGCTGTTCTCTTCCTGAGATACTTTAAATTTAAAATGAGTAATGTCATCCACTCTAAGTTGTTTTACATGTGTGCAAGTCAAAACTTGTTTTTCTACAGAAAAAATTGTCTTTGGCAACTAAAATATTCAACCAACCTGAGCCTACAGAGCCATTGTGATATCGTTTAAAGCCCTTTGCCAACTTATATAACCTTCCCTCTTTGGAAATTATAGAATTTAGGGAGAAATATTTTGGCCCTTGAAAATTTGAAAAGCAGGCTAAAATGGCTCCTTTGCGATATTCACTTGTACAGTACTTCTGGAGTTATTCCTTAGTGTCTCTCAGTCTTTGTGTACTAACACCTGCAAGCTGATTATTGAAATTGATAGACAAAGTGATAGGCAAAGAAGACATACAGAGTATGGAGCGATCCTATCGGTTAAAATGGGTGGTTCCCATAGACTTAGGGGGAAAATCATGGACTAACTACGGGGTCCCTTGTAGGTTGCCACTAGTTAGTCTATTACATATGTACCTCCTTTGTCCATTGAACCACTTGTCTCCGCCACCAGGATGATCCCTTTGTGTCCCTTTTGTCATTAGGTTCCGTGTCCACCAATAGGATCCCTCCATATTGACAGTGTAAGTCGGCAATCACATAACTCAGTTTGTGACGTCGCAGACTTCCTATCATACTTTAGTTTTTAAAGGGAAAACTACTCAACGCCAATTATTTAAAACTGCCGTGATTTTTCTTCTTTGTACGAAAAAAATTCTGCCTAAACTTCAAGGAATGATGTCAATTTGTTCTCCTTTAAAAAAATAACATAGAGGCGGAGGTTTTCAGACGCCGAAAACGAGATATATGATTGCCGACTTACGCTGTCAATATCCCTTTTGTCTTTTTTGTCTGTCGTTTTGTCTACCAATTTCAACAATCAGCTCACTGGCGTTCTACAGCATTATTTAATGCTTGTAAATCTTATGAATGTCTTAAAATCCAAAAATGATCAATTGATCGATCAACTGTTGCATTGCTCTCCATTCTGCTGAAGAACCACCTTAAGCAACCTTTAACAAGTATTTCAGTCGAAGTTTCTCAGAAGTTGAAATCGTCCACTAGATCCAAAAATAAATTTTTCCCAGGGTCCCCACTGGCTTATTTGGTGGATTTTATTACTACCAGTGGTTTAAAAAAAGAAAATCATCAGTAAATTGTGTTATTTTTTCTTTGTTTTTAGTTGGTCATAGGAAATCTACTCCACTCAAGAAAATATCATGTGCTGATTGTATCAGATGCTGAGGAACATGAGCTACGTTTGTCGCCTCAGGAAATAGAAGCAGGGAAGGAAATCGAGGAAAAGATTATCTCTGAACTTGTCAAAAGGCACGATGACTATCTAAACCAAAGTTAGTATTTAACCCAGAACTGTAAAGAAAGCATCATTGTAGGTGTGGGATCTGCGATTCAAACTAATAATTCATTCTCAAATTTCATGATAACTGCAACGGTACCACTGATTTTTAAAGAAAAATCAACCCAGAAACAACTATAAATTTTCATGTAAAACTCCCAGGAGGGATATACTTTAAGTAACTTTGAAAGCTTTTTATCACTTTTAAAGTAAGTTTTGGATAAAACAGGTGGTACCGTTGCTTTTTGCAAATTTTTAAAGAGAATTAGCTCACTCAATCGCATATCCTAGGAGCTCAAAGGTGTCTTTAACTCAAAGCTTTGGTGCTGGTACATATTTTTTTAAGAGTATATTGATGGCTGAAGTCAAAGAATACTAATCTCAGATTGCAACTTCATAAATCTCTGCACAAATTTTATTTTTTAAAGGAAATTTAACCAATAGATTCCCTTGAAGTATTCTGTGAATTTTCTTCTTTCATTGTATAAAAATCTAACAAAATTGCCAGGAAACTTGTTGATCAGTTTTCCTTGCAGAAAATAAAACAAAATCAGAGATTTTTATATGTTACAATAATTGAGGTAAGCATTTTTGCATCTAGCCATCGATATTTATTTATTGAACTTGGCAGGTAAGAAAAATGCATATGTAATATGTATAGGTATCATTATTTATATTTATTTTGTTTGTATTATTTATTCATTTTTTCCTCTCATACGTAATTGCTGGTACGATATTCCTTTGATTTATACGGTTTTTGGGTAGGTTCAGACCCTAATCATGGTGCATGCATTTAATTGTACTCTGAAAATAGGTTTTTTTATATCATTTGAAGACTGATACCACTAAATGAACTTGTAGCGTTTTTCGGGACTCTAAGTGCTAATTTTAACTTTCCTTAAGTCTGATTTTTTCACATCTGAAATCCTCAGAAAGTAGAAGTTTCCCTCGAACTTCACATTTTATGCTAGAATTAAGTACATATGTTTTTTGACTGGTTGTTGTTTATTAAATTTCATTTAATTTGTTAATTATATTTTATTAAACTTTTTTTCAACTGTCCAGAAACTGGGCCAGCGGGTATAATTTAAGCCGCAGTGTCTCTACACAATTAAAATATAGTAAGTGCCGACCAAATGAAAAAGAAAAAAAAATCTTAATGTCATTTATTCTTTTATGTTTTGCATTTGATTAATGTTGATTCCAAGCCGTAATGCATTGCTCAGAAGTTGTCTTAGTTGTCCACAATTGGGAGGCAAACCGAAGCTACTAGGTGTTCCTCAAAGAAAAAATTCACATAATTTTTTCAATAAATATTTTATTTGTTGACTTTTTTATATTTTTTAAGATGTTTTGCACAAGCAATACAATAGTACCAGAATAATAAAAGAGAGATTAAATCAGAACAAAAAGAATAGGCTTTGAGATCATTTTTCGAACTAACCAAGTCCATTGAAGTCTCATATTTAAATAAACATTTGTCTTTCATGAGTGAAATACAGTAATACCCTAACAACATGGCCATCAATTGTTCAGCGCTCTGATTTTTTTGCACCACTCACTGTTAGCATTCATATCCTCAAGATACATGATGTGATTCTCAGGATATTCAATATGTGAGCGTTCATTCAGAAGAAATAATCTTAATAAAGCAACAAGGTGAAGCAGTGAAAAACAAGCAATATCACACGTACCAACGACTATAGCATTACTTTTCCATTGATTATGGAAGACATATAATATAATGCTTGGTGTGACAGCATTTCTAGTGTTAACTGCCGTCAAAGCACCAAATGAAGGGGTATTACTGTACTTCCAAAGCTTTTAGGTTGAAATAAGACTGATAAGCAGTTGCACAGCTTGAAGCAACTTTAATTCAGCCAGTTTTGGCTGACAATGAAATAATAATGCCATAGGACTAGAGCATTTTTTAACTTTTAGTTAGACCAGCATCGTTGTGAAGTGAAAAAATCATTCCTTTTGAAGTTTTGCAATTCTTGAAAGTTGGACGAAAAGTTTCTTTCCTATTAACACCAAGAGAGATCTGATACAATTGGTTCTTTTTTGACTCCTCCCTTCGGAATAGAGAGCTCTGAGTTCTCTTGAAACATATGTAAATGATCACATTTAATGGACTGTAAATATTAAAATCAAGGCAATGATTTAAACATTGCTTAAAATCAAAAATTTCACGGAAAAATACAAACTGAATACTTCCTTGACTTTTGTGAGGAACCTAATTCCTGGGACTTCAATGAACTTTAAAACATAATTTTATTCCAAATAAAATGAGAAACTTTTATAGACAGGAACATTAAGTAGCAAAGGACTAGATTTTATGGAGAAGAAAATTCATAAAAGCACACATTACAGAATGATTGAAGTGAAATTTAAAATTTTGAACATCACTCATTAAAATATAAATAACATCTTGAACTAAAAAAATTGTTCCATTGCTTTTCAAGCAGCCTTTATCGGAACATTCTGACCAGTTTTAAAGCGAGTCAAGGTGGGAAATTAAAATCTAGAAAGTTTACAGAGTAAAAAATTATGGCTTTTAAAGTTAACGGGGACACGCACAAAGTTATCTTAGAATCGTTCCTAGAACTCATGCAAAATTAGTTAATCAACTTCTATAAAGCAACAAAAAATATTCTGACCCCTTGTTTTGTGTTTGAGCTCAATGTAGGAATCAAACTGGCAATTTTTCCATTTCACTTAAAAGAATCCCTCCTTATTTCGCATGAATTCTTTCTTGATGGAAAATGTAAGTTTCAGGCTCTACTTTGAAATTGCCTGCCATTTTTCTTTCAATTTCAATGCAGATTCTATCATTTACAAAGAGCACAAAAAATATACTGAATTAACAGCTTATGATTTTTCTCCGACTCTAAGGTAACTGAACGAAATGTAACAGAAAATTTTGAAGTGGAGCAATGTACCCACTTTTCCCTGTAGAAACTTAATCCGATCTAAAGAGCTCATATAACTATTCAAAGCATCACAAAAAATACTTCTTTGCTTTGGCTAATCATATAATGCGGAAAAATAAGTATTTATGTCTAAGACACCCACAAAGACTCAATGTTGATCGATCCAATTTAAGTGACAGTAGGTACTAAGAAGTTACCTTCACTTCTAGCATAACAAATCATGTTTTTCGTATGATGAGACATTTGGTTGAGATCAACAAACACGGAATTGAAAAACAATGAGTTCTTCATATCTACCCTTGCAGTAGAATTGGTTTTTGTATCGATATGCAATTATCACCGTCAAAATCTGGAAAAAATAAAAACATATTATTGAATAACGATTTTCCGTCCTGATCCTTGAGGATATTTTTCATTTATCTAAAACCAATGGACTACGTGAGGATGAAATCATCGCAAAAAATTTTACTTTATACCGTACATGAACATCAAAACTCAGAAAAAACATTTTTCTCTGTCCTGACCAATTCGGCTCAAGTAGGCTTTCGTTTTCAGATCAGTTAATTTTTTAGCTTTGGTCTATTAATGAACTTAATAATACACTTTTACTCCGTTCCAACTGGATGTTCATCTAAATATATTAAGAGCCAGTAAGTCTTCACTGATGTGCCGGGGTCTTTAATAAAATGATTTGAGTTTGAGGCACCCAAAAAAAGAAAAATTAAATATGGTCGTATTCTGAGGATGGTAAATTGGATTTGTTGAACAATCCTCATGATAAATACTACTCAAAAGTTTAAAGAATTTGACATCAAGTTTTGTCATTAAATTTCTTCTTGATTTTCACGTTCATAACAAAAATCATTTAGTAAAGACAGCTGACATCTAGACTTCAGATCTGTATAATATCTTTCCTTGAGCAAACAAGTATTTCGGCGGTGTAACTCCGCAATCACATATCTCGTTTGCAGTGTCTGAAAATCTCCGCCTCTATGTTATTTTTTTGAAGGTCAACAAATTGACATCATTCCTTGAAGTTTTTGCAGAATTTTCTTCACACAGAGAAGAAAAATCACGGCGATTTTAAAGAATTGCCGTTGAGTAGTTTTCCATTTAAAAAATAAAGTATGACAGGAAGTTTACGTCATCGCAAACCGAGTCATGTGATTGCCGACTATCACCGTCGATTGGTAAAAAAAAAAACATACGAAATATTTTAAAAAGCACCCACCACCTCATGTTCCCGAGTTAAATACTGCTAGTTACAAAAAAGCACTCGGATTCTTTCTAGGATCCTTTTGATTCCGGTAGCGAACAGTTAACCAAACACCAACAAACTATGAACATTGAAAAGGAGCATTCATTTAGAGACAAGTGCCCAAAATATGTTTGTAAAGATAGGTAAAAGCAGGGTAAAAGGTAATAGGGAAAAAAGAAATTCTCTAGGATTAACAGGTAGTGAAATATGTTGTACATCGATAAAAATAGAAAAAAATGCCTGGCTCTGAGTTTTTGAGAACACTGATAGTTTTTCAGTCTCAAAGAAATAAGATTTTGAAACTTTCGCAACAGTACCTGCTGAGAGAAAATAGCGTATTTGCTTTCAGAAAGTTGCCTTCGGCATGTCATCCAATATCATATTTGTCAACAACGAATGTTGTCAGATTATTTTTTCATACTCCTTCATACTAATCTGCCTTGAACATTTTCTTAGTCCTATTACTTAAAGATTAGTAACTCATCAGGAAAATAAAACTGAAGAAACATATATCCTTGTTGGAGGCATTGTAAAATTTCTGCCACTTTTTATTTCAGGGCAGTAAAACCAACTATTTTAAACTCATAAAATTCTGCCACGTGGAAAGAAAACAGAGATTCAAGAAAAAACATGACCTTTCATTTTTTTTAAAAAAAAAACAAGTCCTGCCTGATGAGAATGCTCAGTGGGGAAAAATGTAGTAAACAACTAACCTCTGTGAAACTGAAGAACATACCAAGCCCACCACAAAGATCGAAAGCATAATTCATCGTGTTTATCAACTTGTCTTTGCATGGTGGACAGACGCAACTTTTATAAATCGCACAGCACTGAAATTTAAAACATAATTGAGAACAAATCAGCTTCCGGTGTAAAAGGAATTGTTGAAAGATTAACTATTACATCTTCATGCAGATTCTTAAATTTCAATGTTAAAAAATAAGGGTAATTAAAGTAAGGCTAATAAATGAGAATAATTAAAGTAAGATGCTGGGGGGTGAGAATTCTTCTTCTTTGTAATGTTTCAGAATCTCTGCTAATATTTCATCCATTATAAGGGAAAATAATGCAGGCATATCATTTAAATTTTCACTGAATTCTCTTCATGATTTTACAATTTTCTATAGACAAATTCCGGAAAAATTACCCATTAAATACTTCTCCGAGACAAATCAGCAACAAAGATTCTGCAGTACCACAACCGAGAAGTGCCCTTCTCTCACCCAGTGCCTTGAATAATCGCGTTAGCAAATCAAAAATTTCAGCTGAGATACAAAAGCTTTGCGACAAGATCTACATTTTGCAAAGAGGTTAAAACGAAACATCCATTTTAGCGATTTAACAAAACGAATTAAAGAATAATATATGCCGCAAGCTCGTACACTATGCCTGGGTACCAGTCCAAGATATCCGGCAATAGCCCGATAGGTTTCTGAATAGGTTTCTGATCAATTCAAAACTACAAAATTTTGTGCAAGAAGATAAATATGACTCTAAAATATCTATGGCTTCAGATTATACTGTATCAAGTATGACCTCAAATGATACTACAAGAAGGGAGAGAAAGAATACTTACATCAATGGTACAAGGAGGATGACCCATTGGGTCTGTGGAATTGAATTCTCTGTTATCAAAACCACAACAACCCAACATTTTTTGAACTTCTGTTTTTGTCGACAGCTTCACGTTTTTCCATCCCTAAAATATAAGCCAAAAATACAATTTATTTAAATATTGACCGGCAAGGATATTAAAATTACTTATACTATTTTTTCATTTTCCATACAAAGCTCCAATTTTGTTAGTATTTTTCCCGTCTAACAGCCAGATTATTTAAATGAGATGTCTTGGCCTTTTGTCAAGATCAATATGTAACACATTATTTTTCTGGTTTTTTTTTGTTTTCTTCATTTTTTCCATACATAAGTATTTCATGTAGTATTGTGTGTTTTTATGCATTTCCGATCAACTGGCAATAGCTGTGTCCGGCCGACTCGGGGTTGTTGCATGAGTTTTTTTAATTCAGTTTCTAGACAAGTTGGAGGTGTGCTGATGGTTAAGGTATTTTTTTAAAAATTTTCTGATGAATGGGACATGGAGAAAAAGTCCCGTTAAGTCAGGAACAATTTGAAACGGGGTCCCTTCCCACGCCTAGAAATCACGTGACTCTGCCGTCATGACGCACGGCCAAGGGTTTTTTGCTATCTAAATAGTGTGCTAATATGAGTTTTTTCAAAATTGGGAAAAATCCAAAAGTGGTGTACCTGAATGGCTAATTCTTCCTGTTGCTCCGACGATACCGTGAGGCAAGCAGTTGCAAATCCAAATTGTACAAGGAAAAGAATAAATAAAATGATCATATACTGAGAAAGAATTAAGGAATAATTGCTCCATAAAATTTGTGTTCAATACATGCTGACCTCTTGCAACTTCAAAAAGGATTTGATGGATTCATCATGTTTCTCTACTTTGGAAATATGTTTTTCTACCTTGGAAAACAAACCTACTTTTAAACTTTCTCCTCTCAGACAAGGAATACTAGTGGAAGTGGAAATGGCAAAAATTATGAACGATGAAAAAAAAAAAAAAAGATTACTTTTGGATTTGGCAACGAACACTTATAGCATTGGCTACGTTTAAAAAGACACCTTTCACATATTTTTTTGCCTTCCTTTTGAAACAAAACAACCTTACTTACATTTACATACTACTCGTATACTACGTACTACTACGAATTACTTCATTTACGTAGTCACATTTCATATTTATTTATTTTTTATTTATTTTTTTTACACTTCAAATATCCCTTGAGGAATAATCCTGCACTTTACCGTCCCTAGAGCCCCATCCCCTCTCCGTCCCTACAAGGCAGCCCCAGGTAACCGTTGTTTGAGACCATCAAACTCGGGTCACCTTGCCGGGAATCAAACCCAGAACCTACCGATCATAGAACGAGCGCTACAACCCCTGCACCACAGGAGGCCAACAAAGTTGTTCGTTCTAAAGCCGAAAAAAGAAGTTTACAATAGCTGTAGAATGAAATAACGAAATCAAGTATGTTAAAATTCATGCACTTTCATTTTAGCTATTCCTGTTTTTATGAAATCACCCACAAAAAGACTCTATTTGTGGTACTTCCTTTGGCGATTCTTAAGAAAATGCAATGATTATCTTATGTTGATGGTAAAAAGGATACAAAGAAAAGAATGACTTGATGGTGTTTGACGGCACCAACTAGACCAAGAGCAGCGATGAAAATTAAGAAGACGCCACAAGCAAATATACCACCGACAATGGGTAAATTTGTGATGACTGCTGATGCACGGCCATAGACACTTGTTCCAATCAAAATGAAACCAACCACCTGAAATTAAAATCACGATGAATAATTAGTAATGCAACAGTAAGTGAGGGTTCTGGATATCGACGGCGTAAGTCCGCAATCACATATCTCGTTTGCGGTGTCTGAAAATATTCGCCTCTATGTTATTTTTTTAAGGGAGAGCAAATTGACATCATTCCTTGAAGTTCAAGCAAAATGTTCTGTGCACAGAGAAGAAAAATGAGAGCAGTTTTAAAGAATTGCCAGTGAGTAGCTGGTTTTCCATTTAAAAAATGAAGTATAACAGGAAGTCTGAAACGTCGCAAACCAAGTTATGTGGTTGCCGACTTACACCGTCGATATGTTGCAAAATTCAACTTCAATTTGAACTGACTTCCAGATCAAAGAACTTAAGTGCTGCAAAGTCTAAGATTCCAAAGTTAAAAGTGTACATGCTCAGAAAAAATTGGGTTGAGTTATAACTTTAAACTCTAGATAGTGATTTAGAGTCCATCAACAGGGGAAGAAAAATGCGCTGAAACTGATGTAGGTAACCTGATTCTACAGGTCTAGAGGAGTTCTTAGACATGTTTGGACACTGCTAGAATTGCTGCAGCTGCAGTAAAATTTTATAGAAATTTTTAATTGAATGATCGATTGACAGAAATAAATGACTGATGTGAAAGGCAATAGTTTTTTTTGGTGATACTTACAATGTATAGAATATTTAGGGCAATCAATGCATTCTTCGAGCACGTAAAGCCACCGCACATTTTACGAATACCAAAACGAGGAAATTTTCGAAGATTAAACTTTTAAATTGCTGACTATGAACTGGAAGAATTAAAATTGCTTACATTTGGAAATTGAAATTGACATTTGGATTTCACAACTCGTGAGATAACAGATGATAACAGCAGCAGAGGATGTAAACATAGCGGAAAGGTTGATCAAAAGGTTGGTGCAATCACATTGCAATGCCATGTTGATGACGTATTAGTGGGACCTCGAGTAGCGCGAAGTCTGAATTGACGGGAGAATTTCATGCAATGCGCGAAGTATCCCCTTAGGTTTGTGGGGGCTACTTCACGTATTGCGCAATGCTTGAAGTATCCCCTTAGGTTTGAAGGCGTCAGTGCGCGTTTCGAGCTGGCAGCACGCCGCGCCGCAGCGTGCCATGAACTTGCCCACTTTTTATAGGTCAGGGTGTTAAAATATATGCAATTTGACATCAAATTCGAAATTAGCGACTCAAAGATCATTTGATACGAGACTTTCGTGATCTTTATTCGACTTATTTCTACTATTCTTGAGTTTTGGACGTTAGTGCGCCGCGGCGCCGCCGCGGCTCTCCAAGCGGGCGGGGGGCGGATGGTGAACGATTTCTTGCAGGGAGAGCTCCTTGGCAGAGGAACTCGTATATCGTGTAGATTTTTTTAAATTTTTGACGTTTAAAATTACACACTAGTCGTGTGAAGTAATTGGTGAACTCTCAACGCTATATGAAGTGTAAAAAAAAAGGAAAGGCGGGACCGGCGCCATGCGCGCTGCGGACGAGCTTCTCTGTGCTCTATCGCGAGTTGCGCGCAAGCAGACTGATGCTATTAATGACAATTCCTTAGTCACACATTATTTGATGTAACAGAATATGAAAATGAACATTTATTTAAAACATTTTTTTCGAATGTGTTTTATTATTATCACGATATTTTAAATTGCTTCTTTTCTCCAAAGCCCCAACATTTCTGGGGGTGATTTTGGGTTAACAGGAGTCAGGCCTTGTCTCCACGGGCCGTTTCACGGGATTTGTCCGAGGGAAAAATCCCACTTACGAAGTTGGGAAAAATATTGAGTTAATCAATATTTTTCCCAGTACCAAAGTTGGTCCTTGTACCCCTAGGACCCACTGAGAGAGGAAGAGGAAGTGAAAACGAATTGTGCGATATTTTGTTGATTACTCCATTGTCCATGTTTGTTTCGTTAAAATAATGTGTCTATTGTCAATTGAGTGCAATTATTATTTTAATCCCGGTTAAATACTCGACTTTAACTAATTTATCTTCCCGCACAAACTAGTCGCAGGACCGTATGAGCCCCGTCCCGTGGAGACGGTAACTGGGAAAAATCCCAGAAGTTTCATTCCTGCGATTTGAACTTGGGACAAATCCCATGAAAACGTCCCGTCGAGACAAGGCCTCATGTGGCACATCAACAAAAAGGTACCTATTGATCTCTTTTCTACGGAGACTTTTAGATTTTGAAAATCGAATAATTTTGACACCTAGGTATACATTCTCCAATTGAATGCGCAAGGAAGACCTCAAAATGCCCCGTAACTCCAAAAAATGGGGAAATAATCGCACGAGGCAAAAAAGAAACGTTGTAAAAAGAACGGCGCGGTACGGCGGCTGAGTATAGAAGTATAGAACCGAAACCGGTGCGAATCCAGTGCAATGGATCCACGCGAAGTTCCTTCATTTCGTCGGCTATGCAATTTGATCTCCGGGAAGTCAAAATAGTTGCTCGAGGTGATTGTGAAGTGAGCTTGCGGAGGAAACGGCGCAGTAGGTATTTTTTCGTTCTTTTATGCTGATTTTATACGCGACGTTCTAGGGGCCTACATAATCCATCCAGGCTCACAGTTCTATTTGTGATCATTGATGCGAGAAACGGAACGTTATTACATCGTCCATGAAGGCAAATAGACTATGTCATTCGATGCATGTAGTACGAATCTCCTCTATTCCAAAGATATTTTATTGTAGGGCGTGCAATATGTATTAGACGGTTCTGACAAATTAATCAAGGATTTTTCTCCCCCTGTATTTCAAAATTGAAAATTTTGACGCCGCTTAATCTTTCACTTCTTCAACAATACCTACTTATTTTCCAATTTTAACTAAGTACCTAAGGTTTGCTTTTTTTCATTTATTAATTTACGATGAAATTAATTTAAATGACTTTTACCGGAGTGGTGCGAAGCGGGAACCTTTCCAATCCCTCGCGCGAGCAGAGGTGGCTCTTGCAATTTGGCAACATCGGATTTTCTCCATTTAAAGCTATGTCAAATAATGGATTCTTATCGGTGCACCTGGCCCCTCCAAGAATCGATACATTTGCATAGGTTTAAATGGAGAAAAACAACGTTGCCAAATTGCTGGATCCGCCTGCTCTGCGAGCGACAGTGCTTCAGAAATCAAGCGAAGGCATATGAGTGGAGAAAGCAGGGTTGCAATTTTTTATGAAAAATCAATCGTTGAAATTTCATGTGAAATATTTCACGAAATTTCGGAATTCGTGGAAGATACTGAACAATACTTTTCAAAATTAGATAAACGCAAAAAATTATGATGTCTGCTCATTGGTGTTTTTCAATGCGTGTTGCATGCCGAGCCCCTGAAAATATTTTCATATTTTCACAGTCTTCGTATAATTTCATGAAATATTTCACGGAAATTCATCATCTTTCACATTTTTCATTTACGAACCCTGGGAGAGAGAAACAACCCCCAGTTCCAAACTGAAACGAGCATGATAAGAGTGATCTTCGAACGACCCATATTGCTCCAAACATGACGTCATCTTGGTTCAGGGTGGAGAGAAAGGGAGGCGGTCCTCTGTGACGTCAGAGAACCGTAAACTCGCGCTCACCCTACCATCGTACAGCCCGCAAGATATTGATTCCAATTCGTTGCGTGAACCTTTTAAACCAGATGATACCGGACCACACGTGATCAGTCTTTTACATCAGTCATAGAACTTTTGAGAAAGTGCGTCCTGATTCAGTCTATAGGTAAATATTACGCCAGCACTATTTACATGCTTATCTTTGATAAAAGATTTCCAAAATGTCTCCTTCGAACCCTAAATTTTTATCTAAGCAGCCCTGCTGTTCCGAAAATGTGCTATGAGGACATGTATTTTTTTTTTTTTTTTTTCAGGGCTCGGGGAATACTAGACACAATGCTAGCGTTCCAGATGCAAAGATAGGATTTTGGTTTTTTGGTGCACCATTGAGCTGTTTAACTGATTTTTTTCTACTTCAAAGGTTAAGTACCTACTATAAGTCTCTCGACGAAATGTATCATCGGACATTTCCATTCATTCATCGAACCAGAATTTTGCGCCTCTCACGTGATTGAGCTCTCCGATGATTTTAGGTATACTTCGTTTCTTTTTCCCAAAAACTGGAAAACCAAAAATACACGTAATTCTGTTACATTTTAAACTGCCGGCTACAATGTATTCAGTGAGAAAACTAACTGTTTTCAAAGCGTAAAATTCTTCGTAAATTCTCTCTCACTTTTTTAAAAATATTCCCCGAATATTTGATGCAAGAACAGTAGTGTAGACAAGGGGGGTCCAGGGGGTCTGGACCACCCTCCCTTAGCCTCGTTAATTGTATCCTTTTTTGTACTTTTGGGGGGCAGACATAAAATATTGGGGACGTAAACAAAATAATGTAAATTTACCGTCACGTTTTTGAATGAGCCCCACTCTAGAGTGGAGCGTTTTTCCACTTTTTTCGAAGTCGCGAATAACGTGTAGCAGCATTAATACTGAGTAGAATGACATTAAATTTGCCAAGATTCATTGTAAATTTATACCTAAAACTACGATAACGAACGTCGCCCGTTGACTCAATGTGTAAGAGAGGGATAGCGCTATAAAGACTCTATTACCGCTCTCTATTTGTGCCGTAGTATCTTGATTTATTTTGCGAGGAAATCCCCGTAGTCTTAAAGAAAGCCTGTCATTCTTAATATGTAGGAGCGCCTTCAATTTTGTATGATACTGTGCATCACCTCTGTTGTGAAATAGTTGCTTGAAGCGCCGTGGCACGCTGCGGCGCGACGCGACGGGCGGGCAGCCAGCGCGGAGAGCGCATTGGCGCCTACAAACCTAAGGGGATACTTCAAGCATTGCACAATGCGTTAAGTATCCCCTTAGGTTTGTAGGCGCCAGTGCGCTTGCAGCAGGCCCCCCAAGAGAATTCCTAGTTTGCCGTTGTGCAAGAATGTAACTTTTTCAGAGGAAATAAAATTGTGAAGTAGAAATTTTTAAAATAGCTGATAAAATGCTTGATTTTTAAGACTCGCCATCCACGCGAGAGCGTAATTTTCGAAAAGTGTCGCGTACCGATTCGTGAGACGTTTCCTTTCAAATTCATAATAAAAAAGAGAAAAATCAAAAAGGCATAGGTATATTTTATAAACAGTCCTTGAAGCTGAGCTGTAATGTGAACAAGGGGAAAACCGAGTTTTCCTTCAAATGGAAGGCTATGCAATTTGAGCGGCTGTAGCTTCGAAATAGTTGTATCACGTATTTCGGCCTGGCTGCTCTATGCAGTAAGGGGCAGCGCATATGCTTAACGAAAAATGGATCCAGTTTTGGACATCGATAGTGAAACTAAAATTATGTACTGCAATTAGCGACGTTGCACGTTTCATTTTTTATTTAAATGAAGTAAAATCAAGAATTCAACTCCGTTGACGTCAGTATTATTTTTCATCACGGAACTCCGAGAGTTTCCAAAATTATGGTACTTCAAAAGAAAAAAAAAATGCGTTCATGTAGGTATGCTGCCGTGCTATGGAAAAACGCCGTACGAACTTCATGAGAGTTGACAACTTTCCTCGGATAAAACATGTATTTTTGATTGAAGTTGTGCATGTTTTTCCTTGAAATTTTCGAATATTTTAGATTTAATTGAGAACAAAATTATTTGAAGAATTCCAGAAAAAATATTCACGATTTCTGCGGTGAATTTGAGTTTTATTGGAGGAAATATGGCAACGTCTGAAGGCTCATACGGCGTTCTTCTTTAGCTCGGCAGTATGCCGGTCCATCTTCTTCAAGAAAAATCAGAGAAGAACGTGAATTTTGAAGAAAAAAAATATTAAATAAAGAAATTGCAGAGGAAACTTGATAAAAAGCGTGTTTGTACTTGTTACTTAAACGGCAAATTAAATACGACCTCTGCATTGCTTCACAGGTAGGTAAGTTATGGAAGAATAATCGTCTGATCTCACCGAATTAGGATGAATGATGATGAAATCAATGGGAATTCGAGCACATCAGAATTTTCAATCGGAAATATATCGCTGAGCAATGATGATGTCTCCGAGTACACTGATGCAGACGAGTCCATATCAGCCCCGACTGAGCTTCTGTCTGAATTTTTATCATCTGTCATGATGAAAAACTACCATTCAGCATTTAAATACTGCAAGGTTGGTATTTTTCACCTATTTATCGTGTACACATAAGCATCAGGGATTATTTTTTAGCCCTTGAAGGTGGCTCACTTGGCATCCAAGAAAAAAAAAACCCGGGCTGCCGCACTTGGTGATCATAATGGTTCTGGGGCTTCTTCGAGAAACGCTTGTTGAAAGCTCAAAATTACTTGGGTCCCTTTAGTGGAAAGAAAGTTCCAACCGACTTTTTGATACTTGCAGTTAATTGTAATCTTCTGTCACATTCTTACGGCGCAATGATACAACTATTTGAACTCTCCGGAATGCGTGAGGTATCACGCCGCATTTGAAGGCGTTTTCAAAACAGCCAAGTTTTGATATCAGATTTGTAGTTTCGCAAGAGATTGGAGCACAAAATCAATAGAATAACTGATTTTACGAGCTAATGCAACTCAATAAATTTGTGTTTTATTCGACTGAAGCGTTAGAAAACAGTTTGGTCAGAAATTTACGAGGGACGTTCAATAAGTAAGTATTCCCCCTCTCTAAATTCAATAGGAATGGACCAATTTTCAAAAACTTGGGCTCAAAATCTTTCTTAGGATATACTGAGTTCAGCAAAACAAACTGCAACAAAATCGAACCATGTGCGGCCGAACGCGAGCCGTTTGAACGCGCCGAGGTGCACACCGCTCGCTCGCCAAATTCGCGGAAATTTGAAGTCCGCGACAAGAGAAGAGCTTCTCTGCCAACGCTTCAGTCGTTCATCTTTGACGAAAAATCAAAGAAGTTTTTGCAGAATAAAGGGCTTACCTCACCTCTCCACATAACCAGCTCGATCCAAGCAGGTCTGATACTGATTGTGAGACTAAGAGAACAGCTTTTGGATACCACGCGTGTAGAGGTCTTTCAACTGGCTGGGGATGAAAGTGTTGACGGCTTGTTTGACCTCTTCCACTAATTCACAGTGAATTCCCCCGAGTTCAGATTTCAGAAAGGGGAATAAATAGTGGTCTGTTTTGCCATTTATTGCCGTATCTAAAATCTGAACTCGGGGGAGTTCATTTTGAATCAGTGGAAGAGGTCAAACAAGCTGTCAACACTTTCATCCCCAGCCAGTTGAAAGACCTCTACACGCATGGTATCCAAAAGCTGTTCTCTTAGTCTCACAATCAGTATCAGACCTGCTTGGATCGAGCTGGTTATGTGGAGAGGTGAGGTAAGCCCTTTATTCTNGATATGAAACTCAGGGCCGGATTTAGGGGGTGGCCACATGGGCCGCGGCCCGCCATGGCGGCAAAGTTTGCAATTTTTTAAATGTAGGTATGAAAAGAATTGGATTCAGAAAAAAATTACAAACGAGAAAAGGCGACAAAATGTCTCATTTCCAGAAAGTACAGTAAGTTCTAATTTTGTCGTCTTTCGGTGATGCCAGAGACAGCACCTTTAATTAGTCGAGTAAAGAGAGAAACCAAACACGCAATTTGGCCTGGAACGGCGCGGCGCAGAGGGCAATGATGACGAGGACTTGAGATGAAAAGGAGAAGCCCTCGGCGTAGCGGTCAGCGTGTAACACATATTAGCGCCTACAAGACTCCATGAATACTTCACGCATTACGTCAAACTGAGTACGTCAGCAGTGGTCGACTTGAAACGCACAGCGCCTACAAGACTGCATGAATACTTCACGCATTGCATCAAACACAGTGCGGTCAGCGCGGCGCGGTGGCAGAAGTTAAACTTATAAAACCACATTTATGTTTGTTCTTTCATAATTTTTTGGTTCATTCCTTATACATGGAAGGCCTTGTCCACATAGAGATAGGTTTACAGAACTCAACTTTCGCGCAAAGTTCCGTGAACTTTTGCTAGTAGCGTTGACAGGGCTTTCGCAAAAAAATGTTTCCAACACTATGCACTCCTACCCCTCCGGATCGTTCACTTGATGGTTTTTTATGATGTTTCAAAACGAATGAGAAGGGGCGGCAAAATACAGGCGGCCCGCATGGGCGGCAATCAGGTAAATCCGGCCCTGATGAAACTGCACTTGGAGCGCACGATTTAAAATTATTTACTGAGGAAAAACTAACAAATCTTATGGCTTGAAATTATATGGAATAACGGGCCTGTTGCAAACTTATGCTAGAGCAAAAAGAAGAGTTGTTTCTGTCAGTAAATGTCTCAAGTATCACGATAAATGCATTGGCAATGTTTGAAATGTAATCTTAACATCACAACCTGTGTAAGAGATTTGCGTTTTTTTGAGCTTTCCGCTTCAAAAACGATACTTCGGCACAGGTGAACATTTCTTTAGAGAATTCGTTCCACCCAACCCTATCGCAACAGCAGCTCGACTCGATCCCTCAGAAGAACACTTTTTTTGTAAATTTAAGAATGTGACTTGAACAGTTTAAAACTCAGAAACCAAATTAGATTTGCATATTTTTTTTTTATCTCCCTTTGATTTCAATTGCTGTACCCATTCATTTTTTTTACTCAGGCTATGTGTGCAGCTTAGACTCAAGAAAGCATTTTTCTTAAGGCCTGGATACACGCTCAAAATTCCATCAATTTCCGATCAAATGGTGCACTGGTGCGGTCAAATTTTTGCGGCTTACAAAAATTTGACCGCTATTTTTGTCATCATTTTGATTGGAAATTGACGGAAATTTGAGCACGTGTCCAGGCCTTTAAAAAAGGGGTCAGAAATGCGTCAATCAATTTCCCCTCAGATGACTGCTACGCATGGCATGAGAGGAGAAAGTGAGTGATTTGCATTTCAACTTGAAACGATGTATGTTTGGTCTCTTTAAAAAGATACCTTGAAATTATTTTTAGGTGTAATGAGTTGTAAAAATATAAGTGCATTGTCTTAAATACCAATGCAACATAAGAGATTGATTTGTATTTTGTGATAAATAAGTATATTATTTATTATTTTCATTCCTAGTTTTCTGATTTTATTTTTTTTACATGAACCCATTCATGAACAACATTCTCAGGAAGTATCAACAGAAGAACAGAACCATGTTGCCAAACTTCGCAAATTTGTCCAATTTTTTGCGAAAAAACTATTGAACAGAATGACATTTTACCTAAGTTTTCTTTTGCCATCAAAATTAGCCCCTGAAGTTTGCATGAAAGTATAAGCTAAAGTTTAAAAAAAAAATTAAAACAATATTGAGATGTTCGACAACATAATGTCAAAGCGAGAATGGTGCTTGTGATACTTGGGCCTCGAGATAATTAAATATCCTCTGAGCCGTTGATCATAAAATGTAACATATGTTTGGGCCCCTTCAATTGTTGAATGACAGTGAAAGGTATGATACTTAAGGCAGGCAAGCTTGCGACTGACGTCTGTACAACGTTCCTTTAAAAAAATAAATTGGATCTCCTTGGACAGATTTTTATGCTGCCGTTGGCCGCTGGCTTGTGTGCCCTAAAAGCCATACCTAAAAATGGGATAATGAAAATGCAGCGATCTGCCATGAAAAGATGGATGATAAGAAGACAAAACACATAAAGTTACATGAAAATATCTTACATTTATTCTCATATTTACAGTATACATGATTTACAATTCTGATGTATTCAAATGTGATCAAATAAAATGTAACTAAATTTGATGCGAAACTCAAAAAAATCCTGAAAATATTAAAAACTCACACACCTAATTGCTCATGCATACTTACATGCTGATATACTAGAAGCAAAAGGAACAATCCAAATTTTTGAGATGAAAAAAAGGTACTTAAAACGTGGTGCACCATATAATCAGAAGAAACCAGGATAAAGTGGTTCTGCAAAATTGGAGCAATTAATGGAAAAAATAATCAAGTTACAACTCTGCTTCAGTGTAATCTTTTTTTCAAACCATAATGGGAACCTGATCTCCTTTTCCATGATTTTATACTACTTGTCAATGCACTGCGGCTCCAGATTCTTACTTTTAGAAATTACTGATGAGGCTACAATCCATAGTGACAATAGATTTTCTTAAATACATCATCAGAGATGATAAAACAATATAAAACTGAAGCTAATTGTCTTTCCTTGATTTATGTAGTCTTTATCCTCAGAGATATGCATCAAAATCCGTTACATTCGCTACAGACTTAAGTACATAATTGATTGAAGTTTGATCTAGGTACATAATCCACATTAATTTAAAATTTTCCAACATTATCAATTCAGGCAAAAAATATCCATTGCCATTAACAAATCGAAACTACTACCATTTCTCTGATATCTTTTCTGCAAATTCTTGAGCTACCGTAAATACGGGCTCAACTACATTGTGATGTCTCAAAATTTCCATTTTTATGGCAAATTATTGTTGTACCTTCAGGTTTAAAAACTTGGGGAGGTTCTTAATGAATATGAACAAAAGTTGGGGAAATTTTCAGGAGGATAAGAATAATTATTCATCTGTGATAGGATGGAATGATTATGGACTTTTTAAAACATTTGATGTGCACAGTTGACAATTCAATGTCATAACATTTTCACTTACATTTCACTGATTAAAACCAATTTAAGATTTTGAGACGATTGGGGAGATGTGAAAGGATTCATCAGCAGCATTTTTCATTTCTACTGGCTGATAAAATAAAATGAGCATCAAAAACCTACACAATTGAACTTATGAGGGCAAATATAAACGGTGAAACTGCAGGATCATGACGCGACATTACAGACTTCTTGTCATACTTTATTTTATACAAGGAAAAGTAATTAGCGTCATTTTTCGAAAATACTTTAACTTTTCAGTTTAACATAAAGAATATTCTGTAAAACTTTAGAGCAGTATCAGTGGTTTTTTGCTCTTTGAAAAATGAAACGGAGATTTTAAAACACCAAAAACGAAAAACGCCTTTCAGCAGTTTCACCGTTGATATGTTCTCTTATTTTGCAGGGAGACAGAATATGTGAATGAAGGAGAAAAGGAATATTCAAAAAATAATTTCTGTGATTGAAAATTGCCTGATCTTGACAAAGTTCCTTCAAAGAGACATGGAACAAAGAAGGAACAGTGTAAATGGACTATTTCTGCCAAAAAAAAACTATGCGCATGCACATTAAGACAAGAGCCCTGACACACATTAGAATGTTTGCATAACAGGGCTCACGTCATAATGCACATAGTTCCTTTTGGCAGAAATACATCCAAATGTGCACGATGTGAAATTCCTTGAAGATAATAATTCCATAAATAACTTTTAATTTGTACTACTGATGGACAATTAAGAATAAAGCTAACTGTCTTAAGCATTCAGCAGGAATTAGAATTATCTACATCATGAATAAATCAGTTGGCAACAATCAAAATTATGTACCTTATAAAAATATTACAAAAATAAAACTAAAAACACACCAGAGGAAAAAGATAAAAAGAGAGGAAAAATTGGAATTTCTGTTCAATGTGATAAATCGACACTGCTAATATTTACAGTCATACGTGTAGATATGGTAGATGAAAATATGACCAGATTTGTGAAAGCGGACCTTATCTTCCGAGAAATATCTTGTATGGAAAATTTTCCTTAACATTTTGCACAGATTTATACTGCGTTTTTCTGCAGCCTAACTTCAGGATTTACAGATCCTTCAATTTTTGAGACTTGAATGTCAAACTTCCTCCATAAATTTGCAAAAAGTTGAGGAAAATTTTCTCTCGGAAGGTGAGGTCTCTTTTCACATATCCTGTCATACATGACTTTGTAAGTTCTTTGTGGAATTTGTTAGAGTAAGTTGTCAAAAACTTCCTAAATGAGCTGAAAGGGAATCAAAGTCAAGTTCACAAATCAAAATAAGATAAAAATATTAGCAACTGTCGGAAGATTCAGTCACATAAGCAGTGTTGGTTACGATAATTGAATCCAGCCCTGAGTTGATTAAAATCTAAATATAGTTAAGTAGAGGAAAACTTAAAACAATGCACATTCAACCAGTTAGGTACAATAAAAAGTAACTCAACATTTTTTTTTTAAATTTTTTGTTTCTTTTAATTATCAAAATTAAAATTACTTTGAACTTCTAGAATAGTTATGTTTCACTTTGAGCACTAAGAGACCAGGTAAGAAATTAACTACTGGACTAAAGAATCAATGATTACTATAAACATACAGTGGTCTCCTGATTATCTGGTCAACGTTGGGACAGCGCCTATTTTTTATTCATTTTTTTCTTTTTCTTTTTCGTTTTCTTGATGCACTGAGTAAATTAAACTCCCAGTAATTTTTTTTACTCAAAATGATGCAGAAAATCTATTTTGAAGTCGCCAAAATCTGGACCCATTTGAGATAGTATTTTCGGCGGTCGATTATGATGTAGGCAAGCGGGAGAGTACGCATTCGCTGCTTGGCTGAGGCCCAGCCGAAGATATGGCTTCGTTACATCATCACGACTGTCAGTCGATGATTGATCAGATTATCATTGGATTTTTCTCTCCTTAGAAGTGCTCATTTTAAATTTATGATGAGCTTTTCGGAATTTTCAAGAAATTTTACTCATGGAATATGATATCTGACAGGTATGCTATAGAAATGTTATGCCATTGACTCATTGTACTTATCAATACTGTTACTTAAGCTAACAGGCCAGAATTTGGGGAGGGATGGAAAGCTTTAACTACAAGATATGGCTAAAATATCCAGAAAATTTCAAGAACAATAAATCTAACTAAAGACTTACTAATTCATACGATGGGCTTAACAAATGTTCTGTCAGTAATCAATTATCAGATTCGGCCTACAGGCCTCAATTAATATCAACAATTAGGAGACCACTGTAGTGCAAACCTTTCAAGACACCTACCTGCTCATACAAACTGATTCGTTCTGTATTAAACAAAACAGAGGATCAGAATAGATCACTGACACATACATAGCAAATGACTTGTCTGTCTTGATAAAAATATTCAACCTATGATTTCAATCCCATAAATTTACAAACAGAAAAGCACCTAAAAAAGTTAATAACAATTTTAAAACATTATGAAAAATACCCGTATAGATGCACCAAGAGGGTGAAAATTTCATGGGATAAATGATAGGTATCATGAAAAAAAAACATGAAATCGCAAAGGATAGCCTGCATTACTGATAAAATTTTTTACAGCATCAATTCACTGGACGCACTGATAAGAACTGATCATGTGTGTTGTGTGGTTGATTATTTCCAATGAAAAGTACTTATAGACAAATAAAATTCATTTTAAGCTAGTTTGAAAATTTGAATATGTTGATGAAAAACTGAAACTCGGTGTAAAGAAGCTCAACGAGCAGAGTTTTCCAGTGAGTTCCGCAAGAAAACTGTAAAAGACTGCCACAAAATCTTTGCTACTTTTACAGGTTTTTGTGCTCCATGATAATAGATAAAAAAATCAATTTCTAATTGTATTTTGGTAGTAAAAAAGCGAAAAGAAAAATACTCAAGTACTTTATCCAGAATTTTGAAGAGAGTAAGGATTAATCTCATCTCCTATGGGAAGGAGAAAAAATCAGGATAGTAATACGAGAGCTACAAGAACCATTTTGCTCCAGTTGTTTGGTATACTGACAAAAACTTGGAAAAAGAATGGATGACGTTTAATGAGCGAACGAAAATAAAAAAAAAAATCTGTTAGACACCCTGTTAAATGTATCAAAACACGTTGACTTTCACACTATTTATACACTGATGTACACTTATTTTACACAACATTACATGAAAGCAAAAATCAACAATTACAAAATAACATTTTGTACAACAAAGATATATAAAAATAAAACACACTATGAATATTACGCCATCATGATGAGATCTTTCAAAAACTTACATGAACAGTAATGATTCATACTTTGACAGAGATATAACCAGGCGATGAAAACCAGACAGATGTGGTAAAAACTTAGCATCAAAGATGAACTGATGATAGAAAAGCGTTAAAAATAATGGAAGCTTCAAAATATCCAGAGTAGGTAGCCATGACGCTATGCTCCAAATATTTAGCGAAGAATGGATTTTGTTTATTCTCTTAAAATTATAATCTCCAGTGACAGAATATGCTTGGTTTATAGGTTTTTTGTTTGTTTTGCAGATGAGACGAAATTGATAAAATCTACTTACACACAAAATATGATCAAAAATAAAGCTCAAAAAATTTGAATCTTATTTTGTGAAGTTGTAAATCTCTTGTCGTTAACTTTTCAAATGGAAGACTAATCGATGGAAATGTATAGAAATTTTCAGTTTGTTCCTTTGTATGAACTTCATTCTGAGAAAATTTCAAGCAACAAAATTAATTTATTCTCCATTTGAAAAGTAAAATAGACGCACAACTTTTGAAATTATGCAATTGATATACCTGTTCTCAAAGGTCAGCCATTGCAATCAAAAAAATATTATTTCTGGCTCATTTCAGAAACAACATAGGTGCCATTTGCTTCCCTTTGCAGATACATGCTATTATGGATGATTCGAGAATAATAGCTCCTAATTGAGAAATGAAGTCCTATTGATTTTTATACACGCTTTTAGATTTTTATGAAAAACAGCACACAAGCTTCGAACCTAAACTATGACTAAATATGATTTGAGCATTTGTCTTGCCATAAAACTAGCAATAACTTTGTGGGCATTTAGATACATTCATTCTTATCACTATTCATACCAATTAAAATTAACTAGGTATTTGAAGTATGCTTGTTCGGTTTTTTCCATATGAAAAAAAGATTATTTTTAATTAGGATTTAAATTTAACTATTTTTCTGATGTTTCAAAGGATATTGGTTGATTGGTTGACTTATGAAAATCAATGATTATGATGAACATTTCTGAGGAACACATGTAAGTGTTTTACTCTTGTAGGAGGTGCAGAAAGTTCCCCTTTGAGACCTGAATGTTATGAAGATTAAGTTAACTTAAATAAAATCAAGTCTGAACTGACTCCACTTTACATATTTTTGATTGCTTCGACTAAGTCAAAAAAAAATTTGGCACCTTAAGAGTTCTAAACGATTTCATCACAGCAATGAATCATTTTTCATTGATTTGCAAATTATAAACTATTTCAAACAATAAAATATCTCAGAGACAGTGACAAATCCTCAATTTTTTTAGTTATCGGACAAAAACTTTTGGTTCTTGCAGATGAGTAAAGAATTCTCCTACAAATTCTGCTAAAACAGGTTTCCACTTAAAATTTTAAACAAAAAAACACTTACATTAAGCGGAATTAATAGATAATTAATTCCTAGAAAATCTATTTTGAAAATTTAAAATGGAAGCCAAAGTTCCAATGATTAAACATCAAATTCATCTTTCAATTTCACTTATGAATATATTGTGCTTAGATGAGTTCAGATTTGATTAAGGTTATTAAAAGGAGGTTCTTTTTTATTTTCTATTTTATATTATTGAACACCTGAAATTTTTAAACAAATAAAAAAAGGTTTGATTTCCCTTTGAAGTTTTAAGCAAGACTAGTAAATTAATAATATTTATTTCAATCTCAATTTTTCTGTCCTCCCTTACCGAATTTCTTCCTTGAAACAATTTCAGCACCAGTGATATCAACAGTCCAGGTACATAGATATTTCAACTCCGAATGGACAATCTTTTCATTAACACTAAAATTTACTTGAAATTAATCATTTTAGGAAACTGTTCAAAGGAATACATATTATTTTATAACTACACTCTCCGAGTAATTATACACAGAATACTAAACCTAGAATATACCAAAACTTGAAAACACTGATGAACAAATGAGTTATCCAAAAAAAAAGTCGAAAGAATTGTCCTGCCTAAAAAACAAAAAGACAATGTGCCTCTAGAGAAGATTTGCATTAAAACACTGTGAAACATTTTTTCTTTCAAAATTTCACCGGAAAAACTAATCACACAATGAGAAATGTGGAAACAAACTGCTAATCAAGATACAAGTGATTATACTAAACATTGATTAAATGGAAAAAAATATAAATGATGTCGTTTGTTTAATCTACATAACTTTCGTTTAATCTGTATTAAAAATAACTGTTAATATGTATGCTGTTCAGAAGTTGATTGCCAAAATCGAATTCCCCATTATGTGAATCATGTTCCTTGTAATATTTTGAAGCGAAAGCGTGTAACGTTTTTTTTTAAAGTTCAGACTTTGTCTATTGGCCCATTATGCAAGAAAAAAATGCAGTCATGTATTGCACCTTCCACTTTCCAACAAGCTAAAGATTTTGAGAATCGACTCTAGAATTTTCAAGACTTGTTTGAACTCACTTTCCTCCTGGTACAAGCCCACTTTTCATTTCGAGAAAATTTTCACTTATTTATCATTCGAAGTTAAAAGCAGTAACACAACCATAAACAAACAGTCTTCCAACAAATTCTGGGCAAAATAACGAACTTGGGATCTTAATATTAATCCAAGTGTTAGTGGAAAAAAAAAACTTGGACAGAAGCACCATATTCTATTGCCACAAGCCCTTTCCTCAAATCTTGGTCCTTGAGGAGTATTTTGTATTTATTTTCACACAAGGTTAATAAATTTGCAGTGTCAAAGGGTATCTCAATTTGGTATTCTAGGAAATACATTTGGTGAAAAAAACTTCCTTTCATAACCGTTAGATCTGTTCCTGAAGCTGTGACTTGTTGAAAAAGTGAAAAAAATCCTCACGTATACATTTTGCCGCCATCCTCACTTTAAGATACATTATGTAAAAAAAAAAAAAAGATCCTTCAGGAAATGGACCAGGTTGTAATATTGCGGATCAATTCTGCATAAACTAGCTAGAGCGGTTCCATAATGATGTTAGGGAATAATGAGTTGTAGGTTTGCTTTAAAGTAGTAAAAATAATTGATTCACAATATAAAAAGGAGGGAGAAAGATGATAAGTTTGTGAATTTTAATGTTTGCAGTTTAGAAAAAAAAGTAAAATAAGAAGAAGGAAGTTCAGGAAGTAACTGTTTCCGAAGTCCCAGAGAACAAATCTCAAAATTAAAATTCAGTTTTCATTTGATCAATTTTTTTCAGAGGAGGATGGTGAAATCCATTGATTCGTTTCAAAATGCCTGCAATAATTGATTTGGCTGTATATGACCTGAGGAGAAAAGCTGTCCAAAAATTTCTGCAGCTCTCAGCGAAAACATGAAGAAAAGTTCATGAGATTTTGCGAATATTTGTCACTAAATTTACGGATGATACAATAACAGTGCAGGCGATTTTTTAACAAAGTAATGATTTGAGGCTTCATTTCAGAAATGCATGATATAGTTTTAAAGAAATTAATTATTTTGCAGTTATAATTTGACCTTTTACATCAACCAATAACAAGAGAGTAAGTCAGAAAAAAGAAATCCAATTTCATAAATCGGATATTGTCATGGGTATGAATACGATAGTGATTCGAAAATATCAATCAGTAAATAAAAAGTTAAAAATACGAATGATTACAAACTCTAGAGTACGAAAGTGTTCAAAAGATATACATAAAACTGAAAACAACTAGGAATAAACTTACTCAATCTGACTAGGTACAGCCTTCGATGGAGTTACACCTCAAGCACAAGAAAATTAGAAGGCAAAATCAATTTGTCTGAATATTATAATGTTTCTACTCGCAATATCCTTAAGATTTCAAACTAGTCTAAGTTGAAAAATTGATTTAACACAAAGGAAAGCTCCGATTCACAATTTGTAGTTGAGTAAAAAAATTAATTCCTTAAAAATAGAGGTAATATTCTGGATTCTCTTCGATTTTCAATCGCCCTGGTTGAGTACAGATATTAGGTACGCAAAAATAAAAAATAACAAACACTATAGATTTTAGAAAGTAATTAAAAATGGCACTTGTTTGACTCACAGCTTTGTGTAGGCTGCTATTCGCTCCATGACGCAAGATGCTGATAATCGCGCCTCAGCATCGTGGTCCCAGCACTCTTCCATTGTTTCGCACAGAGCTGCCATACCCTAAGGACAGACAGCACAAGTATATTACAATTTGGATACAGTGATTAAGGAAAAAGTACGATCTCAATTTGTATGCCTCTGGTACACTTTCAATTTTTTTGTGACGAATCACCAGACAAGGTGCCAATTTAAGCATATTGATACAATTTTCTCATCAAAATTTTACTTAGAACTTGATTCACGTGATGAAAACTATTGGAAGTAACTCCTAACCAAGATAATAACGTTATTCAATGCTTAGATGAAAACTTCCTTCTTATTGAAAACAATCTTCTACTTGAGTTAAATCGCACACTGAACGTTACCATAATAGTCTCTGCCGTAGGAAATATAGCAGCCTCTATCTTACAAATACCGCATGTTATTTACACTTTGAACAACACAGGGCCTGCAAAAATCGTTGTATGCAAATTGATTCATAAGGAATTTGGTTTATCTACGGACCGGGTAATCAAAATTTTTGTAACCAGCGCTACAAAAGAGTGTTAATTCATATCTTAGGAGCTACATTTGGTCATTTTTGCTGCGCAATTTGTGATTTAAGTGAAGTTCTGATGAGAAAAATATATCATAATGCTTTAATTTGCACCTTGTCTGGTGGATTATCACAAAAGAAATTATAGAAATTTACAATCTAAAATTTCAAAAATGAACCAAGTTGAACGATATCTCTGATTTGAACTAGGGATCCGCCAAGCTTTGCATTTGCTTCACATTTTGCGAAGCGAAGCGCGAGGTCGGAAAAAGCGAAGCGAAGCGAAAATTTCCGGTAATTCAAATTTTTGCGCTCTTTCGAAATCTTTGCCAAATGCCGATGATTGATGGATAATTCTGCGCGTAAACCGGTTCTTCGCGCATGCGGTCGCGGCTGCTCCAAGTATAAGCGCCTTTTCTCCTAACCTCAATTCCATCATAATGAAATTTTTTGAAAATTTTAAATCGATGGTTTTCAAATTATATTTACCATCATTTTGTGGGTATTACTATGTTTTCAATTAAAATAGATGAAAAAAAAAATTAGTAAAAACAGTAGTAAAAGTAAAAATAGTTTTTATTTTTTATCATTCCGTGATAATTAAAGCAAAACCGATGACAAATTAAAAAATCTTAGATCTGCTGGCACCTCTTTAAAAATTTATTCTTAAAATTTAGGGGAAAAGGGGGAAAATTTAATGAATGTATTCTCCACGTATTTCCCGGTGTTCAATTAAATTCAACACCGCCGCTGCCAGCTGAGTGTCGACTTGCTGAAGTGATCGCCACAAAATTCTGTGGGTTGCATCCAGCGTATTTGAAGGGATTTTTTTGTCTGCTACGCTTTGAAAAATGCTGCTTCATGGAACCCTAATTTGAACCTTCATTGGGTCAAAGAAAAAGATACAAAAAGGTTGTCATGTTTCTTACTACGGTATTTTTTCGCTATAAGGACGCTCATTATAACAAAAATCTCTCTTTTGCGAAGGAATTTCCCGGTCCCTTGCCGATTCGTTATAGCAAGAGAGTACTGTATATGACACACTAAAGATATTTTGAGATAAATAGCATGTTACAGATAGTTTTTTTCTCCGATTTGTTTCAGGTAATTTTTTTTAATTTTTACATAAAAGGTGGTAGATATAAAATTAAAATCCATTAAAAGACCTTACCTTGTGAGTGGAGTCCCTCCAAGAGTCAGGTATTGTCGGTCTTTGTCTCCTATGAACAACCGCTTCTTGCATATCTTCTAAACAAGGTAGTTGCCCCACTTCCTCTTCAAATGGCAGTCTATATTCTGGTATGGGACCCTGAGAAACCGTTAATTGAAAAATAAGAGCTAGGATACAAACACAAATGGACGTAAAAAGTGTATGATATGTAATTGGTTGCTTTTAATTTGAGGCTTAAAAATAAATATGAGTACCCGAAATAAATCATAAAAAATGGCTGGCCAATGGGGCAACAGCATGATGCTGCATGGAGCAATAATGATGATTAACCGGTCAAATCTTTCTTTGCAACCAGTTGAGGCAGCTGTTGATAGACCAGATGAATCTTTGATGGATCGACCCATCAAATAGATAGACTGACTAATCGAAAGTTTTATTGACTGTCTCTCAATCTACTGTCAATTGACCTCAAATCAACTGCAGGGTGTCTACTAAAACAGGCTGGCCAAAAATCAGTACTTTTACAGTACTTTTTCAGTACATTCCAGAGAAATTCAGTGCCTCCTTATCAGAAAAATTCAGTACTTTTTCAGTACCTCCAATTGAAGAGATTAATAAAATTTCAAAGATTTGAATTCCTCGCTCAAATTACGACAAACATGACAACAAATTAAAAAAACAGAAACTTTTGTAGGGGACAGTCACAAGACAATTTTTGTAAAAAAGTGATAAAAATTGCGTCCTCACTGGCACTAAATTAATTTAATCGAAACTCGTTTCGAGGTCTAGATGACCTTATCATCAGCCGGCAGCGAACTAACGTTTTGTTTTCCTTACCTGATCCATGCGCTGGTGCTCGATTGCCATATTTCAATGAATTTAAATAGGATGTTATTTGTGCCCACCAAGTCTGTGTTGAAGTTGTTGGTAATATGGATATATATGTTTTCCCACACATCTAGCTCTCTTGGGTCGTTAATCTCTTTCTTTAAAATGCGTTTGCTCGCTATTTCATGTTTTTCGAAACCAGGAAGTAGGCTCAAAAGAGTACGCGATTTTTATCACTTTTCTATTAAAAAAACATTCTGGACTTTCTTGCGGAATTTCCGCACTTTTTCAATACTTTCAGACCGCTTTTAAAATATCCGTACTATTTCCAGACTCTCCGGAAATTTCAGACTTACAGACAGCCTGAACTGTCAGTCGGTCAGTCGAATTTTCTGTTGATTATTTAACCAAATTATCTGGCGATTGACCAGTAAAATCATGAGTCACCAGGCAAGTCAAGTCAACTGTCAATAGACCAGTCCAATCGACTGCTGAAGGACCAATCCAATTGACTCCTAATGGGCCAATCGAATCGATGCAGGATTTTTAAGCGCAGAGACAAATTCTAAAAAAGAGATAATATTGTACCATTTGTTGAGTACACCGGGAAGCAGCTTCCCATAAAACTAGGCCACAAGCGTACATGTCTATCCGCAGGAAGGCATCGCGAGAGAAATTGATTGCTCCTTCTAGCACTTCTGGGGCCCAATACCTTCTTGTGCCCACCTGAAATATCATTCAAGTATTAGTCAAAAGCATCCTTTTGAAAATTGCTTAAAGAACAAAGAGTGAGTCTGTTGAGTCATTTTTTATTGCTTCATTTGAAAGCACTAGGATATTAGGACAACTGAGCTTTCACTTATAGCTTAATTTGTTTTAAGGACGGTAACAAGGAGAAAAATCAATTCTCAGGGGCGAGGTATGATGATATTCATTAAAGAAGTTTGAGTTGCACACGAAAAAATCTAGCATAATTTATATTGAGAGAAGAAAGATGGCAGAAAAATGCGTGGGGGCATGGTGGTGCGCTGGCTTGAGATTATGGGTCACGGGTTGTCGTCTCAAGCTCAGCGTCAATGTTGCCACAAATTGAGGCTGGCTATTTTCATTCTTCATTTATCTTTTCATTAGCACAAACACAGCATCTGCGTTCCTGTAGCAATTCCACCACAACTCAACAACCTCTTTTCAGGGGTTTTCACATTTGTAGCTCCATCTGTTGAGAGGAATCTGAGGTGCAACTTTCAACACTTCCTGGCATGCTATTTACGATTCGTTTGCAATACGACCAATCCAAGTTGCAGGGTATGGAAGCGCAGAATCTAGCCTGGTCATGAAAGGGTTGACCATAGTAATATTCAATTGGTTACGGTAATTTTTCTTTCCATTCTCTTTTTTAACCAGACGTTTGACTTGGAAATGTTACTGAAACTGCGATAATTACAGTAGATAGCTTTAAATTCTATAATGAGTGAACAAATTAAAATTACGATGTCACATACCTGGCCATGGACATCTCCACAGGGTTTACCACGAAGGAAAATTAAGGCTAAATTGAAATCAGCAATACACGCTGTCAGGTCTTCTTTGAGAAGTACATTCGTACTTTTAAAATCCCTATGTGCTACAGCTGGTTTGTATCCTTCCCCCTTTGTGGGTGGAAGTTCCTCATGAAGATGCATCAGTCCTCTGAAAAACACAAGTTTATATTGTAAAATAAAGTCAGAAATCGAATCATTCCTTCATACATAATAAATTGGAATCAGAATTATTAATCAACTTCCATCCCATCTTAACGATGTTCAGATTCAATTATTTGAAATTAGTTTTCCAGGACAATGACCTCACCTAGTACAATTCACTCTCATGTTGAACTTCTACAGTAAACTGTTTAGAAGTTACAGTTGACAGCCAGCGTTTATCCAGTAGAGCAAAATCAAGAGAGTAAAAAATTATCATAATCATAGATTTCATATTTTTCAGTATCATCATCATTTCAATTCATCACCATTTTTTTTCCAGGCTTTCTTCGAAATGTCTTAAAAAATTGAGGAGGGGTCAACGCAATCTTGCATAATTCAAGAGGGGGGGTTGAGAGACTTATTAAACATATGCCTTATAAGCAGCAGCCTGATCGTTGAAATTTTGTGTTTGTCAGGTAGACATAGATGACATAGGTTAAAAGGCGGAGCGTGATTGGTCGGCTATGTCTTATCGCTGCTTTATCGTGCCTTTGTCAGGTGGAATGGACGACATATTGTCGAAAACTTAAGAGGTGTCGTTAGCTTGTCGTAAATTCCACCCAACATAGGCACAACAAAGCAGCGATGAGACATAGCCGACCAATCACGCTCCGCCTTTTAACCTATGTATCTATGTCTAGCCGACAAACACAACAATTTAACAATCAGGCTGCAGGGAGGATAAGGCGGGGGTGTCAAAATTTGGCAAAAAAGCCTCCCATAATACTTGAACAGCCCAAAGGAAGAGATTGATTAATTTCAGGAAGTCATTAAAATAGATGTGAAATTGTGTAGTCATATTATACTTACTTGGCCATGGAGTGACATATCTTGCACAACTGAGCCCACGTTATGGTGTTTCCTTTTAGGTAGTTACACAGAGAGCCATGTGAATGATATTCCGTGATAAGCCAAAATTGTGTTTCTAATTCGTTACCCCGTACTTCCGCACCAATGAAATGAAGGATGTTCTCATGTTGCATATGAGCTAACATGAAAATTCCTTGTTCTGTTAACCATAGTTGCTTGTCCTGTTTCATTGAAAAAAAAATTTGAGTTTTATCTTGACAAAATTAAAGTGTCTTATGAGTTCTACAGCCATGGAAAAGATTGAAAAAATTTAGTTTTGTCTATTTTTGACTGTGCTTTCGAGAGATCACGTGCAGTAAGAAATAAAAATTTTCATTTGAGGAAAATTTAAAAATTTGAGAAGCAAACAGTTGGAAAACAGATCCTCACTTTATGTTCCTTAGCACCTCGAATTGCAGATTAACCAAGATGAGATTACACTTTTCACAGGATAGAGTCCACAGAAAATAAATATACGCACTTACAGACTGTGACAGAAAATCGTCTGATGTTAGTTTAACATTGAAAGTAAATGCAAGAATCGCAATGTCACAAAGGATCTTCTGTCCCGGTCTAAAAAAGCGTATAGTTATTTGGCGCCGACTCTGTAAAATTAAAACAGTTGGTGTTAAAACTGAGCATGTTTGTTATCTTGTGAGCCCTGGAATATAAGCATTCTCATGGACATCACGACGGTGTAAGTTGGCAATCACATAACTCGGTTTGCAACGTCACAGACTTCCTGTCATACTTTATTTTTTGAACAGACAACTACTCGACGGCAATTCTTTAAAACTGCCGTGATTTTTCTTCTCTGTGCGAAGAAAATTCTGCATGAACTTTAAGAAATGATGTCAATTTGTTCTTCTTTAAGAAAAAAACATAGAGGCAGAGATTTTCAGACACCACAAAAGAGTTATGTAATTGCAGACTTACACCATCAAACAGGGTTATTCGGAAAATGGACATGTTGGGTTTCAACATCGATCGATTAAATTGATCCAAATAGAAATCTTTTTACCTGCGTTGAAAATATTTTGACAGCAACGGTGGTTTTATTGTATTTTGCTGTGTAAACCGTGCCAAATCTACCACATGCTATCCTTTCCATCAGTTGAATGGAGCGATTGCCCATCAACGGGGATGAAGAAAGACAATTGGATGAATCCAATGACGGCCCCTGAAAATATGAATAGTCCGTTACAAGGAGAAACTCTGACATGATCAAAGAGAGTTTGCCAAAAATACTTTAAACAAAAAAAGAGGTTTGTGTTGAGACATGAATTTTGAAGAGGAAGTAGTTAATTTTGTCTGTCAAAGATTTAAGTTCCCTGAATAAGCCTTGAAAATTCCAAAACATTCCTTAAAACGATGATGCAGTCATCAACCATACCGTCAAAACTAGAGAATGGAAAATGAAGAGGTACAAAAGAGAGAAACTGTAACTTTGCAACAATTATGCAGTAGTAATTATCCCGCAAATAATTTAGGAGAAAATTAACTGATTAGTATTTTCAAAATTTGAAGACCTTTTAAAACAACCTTTCAAACTTAGGGTTAGAAAGTTAAAAAAAGTTGCTGGATGGAATTGAAGTCGTACAACTTGAAAGAGAGGAAAAGAAAAATAAAAGAAAATACTTAAAAAATGATACTTACCCACTGAAAATATCCAAAAGAATGATAGATAGGGGGAAAAATAAAATTGCTGTTTAGTAAAATGTGATACATATACTCTATTTCTATGAGTCTACATTCAAATTGGAGCGAACTAAAAATTTAACTAAAATTAAGGTGACATTCTATTAAGAAGAAATTCTCATGATTTGTTTTCAAAATTAAAGGCATGCAGGGGTGAACTACTACGTGTTTTCTGATATGTTTGATGTAATAAACAAATGCCTTTGTGTATTGCAGTAGAGAGATTTTTGTTAAGAATGGTAGTTCTCGAAAATTTTGGCACTTGTGATTGCTCATTTGATTTGAATTACATTCACTGATAAGATCGCTCTCAGGGTGTTTACCGTTACTTCATTTGGAAACTATTAGAGCAGACATTCTTCGATGTAAAGCTGCCTGTAGATCAAATAAGGCTAAAAGGGAGGGAGGACATTATAACAGCCTTGTACTCCCTTATTCAGGAGTACAAGAGTGCTTAACGAGGCAGTACTGGAAGTATCAAATAATCAGGAAAACTGCGAGTAAAAAAATTCACGGCAAAACGTGGAGGCTATTCCACACATTGAGCATTTTGCAACCTTCGAAATGAAATGATGAGTACGATTTTCAAAAAGACTTGTCACCGTTCAGCTAAAAGTTGATATTAAAACTATGTTTTTGAATCTGACAACACTCAATTAGGTGTGCTGGACTTTAGATTGTGTAGGATCACCAGGCTTCCACCATGCAAAATTTACTATTCTGCCGTTTTGCAGCAAAAATGCCTTAACTATATTCATATTTTGCCTTTTTCTTCCACACATACTGTTCTAATATGAGAGCACCTGATCACTATTATGCTTCATCTTGTTAATTTGATTTCTAGACAGCATGTTGCAATTATTCTGAAATTGTGAGGTATGAATGTCCGTTCATTTCTCTGTTTTAAAAGAAGACTGACAGGAAAAAAATGAAAAAATCTAAAATGAAGTTAAGTACAGCAATTTTGCTTTGGACGACAGTGTTTTGGACTGAACTTCGAAATGTTAATTAAGTTTCAAAAGAGTCACAGTGCCGATTGAACTGGTGGATTTAGATCCAATAGATTAGATACATATTTAGATTTTTAGTATAGCTCAAAGAGAATTTTGCAGAATCCGCAAGGGAAAGTGATGAATGCATTCCTTTATTGGGACACTGATGTCAATTTCATTGTAGAAAAGCAGTCTTTTATCCACAAACTTTGACAGAAAATAGGATATTTTTATTTGAAACAAGGAGAAAGGTTTAAAGCTAAGTATGATGAGCATCTGAGCATCATTACTTACCTGACTGAACCCCTTCTTTTTCCGGAAAAATCGATAGGAGATGGTAGATCCAAGACTCAAGGCAAAAACTACTAACAGTAAATACAGGATCTTTTCATTCCAACCAGGCGAGGTGTTATTTTTGGCTGAAATAAAACATAATACTTTGTGACTTAATTGGATTAATTTTTTAGTTAAAAATTGAAAAGTTTTTGACAAAATATCAGTGTAGAGGGTTGTTTTACTCTAAAACAGGATAAAGCCATTCACATGTTCCTTCGATTGTGCAACATTATGTTCATTCTGACAAATTTAAATGCTCATGGGAATATCTCAAAATCGATACTCAAGTCAGCTCATTCCTAGATCAAAATTGAGTAATTTTTGAGATCTCTCAGATAAGCAATCGGATTGCTCAAAGTATTCCCATTAATTAAACCACCCTCCTTGAGTTTTCGGAATACTTTGAGGATTCACAAGTTACTGATTTTTGTCCAACTGAACAGAATAGCTGCGTGCACTATGACAAAGACAGATCAAGAGTCAGTTGGTAGGTTGAAGTGAATATTCATGCATCTTCTACAAAATTTGGATAAGAAGTTTTTTTCTTTTCTTTGCAATATAATGGGTCTATTGCAAACTTTTTCTAGAGCAAAAATAAGAGTTGTTTCTAATAAATAATGTCTCAAAAATCACGATGAGCGCACCGGCAAACTGTGCAATGCACTCCTAACTCCTCAATCTGCGTAAGAAATTTGCGTTTTTTTAAGCTCCCCGCTTCGAAAAGGATACTATAGCACAGGTGAACATTTTGTTAGAATAGTCATTCCATTCAATCCCTGCTCAACATGGCCAATGCTTCTATGCGCAAATTGAGGAGAGCACAATAAATCAAGGCGGAAATTTATCAATGCGAGAAAAATGTGAATGTAAACACGCCGATTGTTACCAGGTGGTTAGAATCAGAGTCCCGTCACATGTGTTTTGGCGGATTGGCATCGACTGTGTTGGATAATGCATAGTATCCTTAGGAGCGAGGGTTTGATGGAATAACTCCTCTAACGAAATGTTCACCTCTGCTGTGGTATCGTTTTTGAAGCGGGAAGCTTGAAAAAACGTAAATTTCTTGCGCGAATTGTGAAGTAAGGAGTGCATTTTAGACTTTACTGATGCGCTCATCGTTATTTTAGAGACACTATCAATGAGTACAAATTCTTATTTTTGCTCTAGCAAAAGTTTGCAACAAGCCCATTGACGATATGATATTGATCTTCGTTATTTTTTTGGAATACTTTTGGGGGAGCTTTACCGCGCAAGAAAATGACTTAAAAGGTTAAAAGTTAAATTGTTTTCTCACTTGCACGTTTTTTTAATTATTTTTCTGCAGACGCGTTTCGGTCAGTACGGACCATTTTCGATGCTCGATCGCGACTCGACTTGGAGTCACAATTGAGCATTAAAAATGGTCCGTACTGACCGAAACGCGTCTGCGGAAAAATAATTCAAAAAACGTGCGAGTGAGTAAACAATTTAACTTTTCACCTTTTAAGTATTTTTTTAAAAACTCCTACCCTGGCTGCGATTTTGTATTGATTGCTCATTCAACCATATCCAGTTTCTTGGTTATTGATATAATTTTAATTAACTGAGTTACTCACCGGTTATTTTCGGAACGATGGTAGGAGTGGGCTCCCAATACACTCTACTATTGCACATGTCACCTTCGCAACAACAATAAAACATATCTTTATGTTCCGATGCTGTCTCCACACATCTGGTCTGGTTGTGGCAGTTCGGATCAAACGCCCAGCACCCCTGAAAACGTTAAAGGATAAGAACACAAGATTAACGTAACTGTTGAGGAATCAATTGCATATCCTTTGACTTAGAACTAATCAAATTCCTGGCAGCTAAGGATTTTTCAGGTGGTATGTTCACCGACGCCTTTGCATACCCACAAGAGGAATGGTCGGGCCTGCCTCATCTGGTCGGGATGTCTCGCCGGGAGAATCACCAGTCCTTGTGACTGAGGGGTAGGGCTGTTTTATCGATTGTTGGTAAGCTACCGAAACAGTTCCATTAAGAAAAAGTTACGATAAGAGCGCTCTTGCCAATAGCGATCAGAGTTTTTCGAGCTGGCAAAAATACGCTGTTGCCATTTGAACATCTATTTGACGGGCCGCTACGCCAGGCAATCTGATAAGCCGACGCACGGGGCAACAATGCATTGAGTGCGAGCTCTCAAAAATCCGATAAGGCCGGCTATTGTCGATATCATCGCTGCTGTCGGTACTGCCGCCAGTTTCAATAAGAGACGATATCGAAAGTGTTCCGGCAAGAATTCGTTTGAACACCCCTACTTACACTGGTCATGGACCAAGAGAAGGGGGGGGGGGGGGGGTGCAGAGATTTTTAGTCAGGGTCCAAACCCAGTCGTGCACTGCTGACCATCGAGCATGCCTCAATCTCGTGTGTGCTGAGTGCAGGTGCCCCTCTCGATTTCCCTGTCAGTTGCTTGCGACTGTCGGGGGGAGAGACTGTCCGCCCGTTCCTGGCACATGCCAGCAGTAGTTGCCGGAACTCGGTTTTCTCTCCGCTTTCAAAGCAAAAAATAAACTAAGAGCTATATCTCGATCAAGGTCAGTCATATTGTTAGAATTTTTGTTATTACCTGGTACAACTAAGTACAGCTTTTACGTGCTGCTACAGAGTAAAATTTGACAAACTCCATTAAAATTTCCCATAATACATGATAGAGCCATTCATTTTGTTTGAATATTCAACACACAAGTGGACCACGTTAAACAGAAAGGAACCAAGCCACATCAGCTACTGCCAAATTTAATTTGGCAATTCAATATTTTGCATGAAAACAGCTGCGCGGATTTTCATGCAAATTCGGATTTTCTCCATAGTACGAAGCAAATTCCTCAAAATTTTCAAAGGAATTCACAAAAACGTTCGCTCGTAAAAAATTAAATTGCCCACTTAAAATTGGCAGTAGCTGATGTAGCTTGGTTCCTTTCTGTTAAACGCGGTCCAAGTAGCCCATTGGGTTTCAGCTCTAATGGCCAGGGGTTCGTCAGAATATTAAGGAAGAGTTGAAGATTGTATTTAATGAAATATATTTAAGGATTGTTATCACTAGGGGCTAAAAATTACGTACTTCATGTCTCCCTGTCGCATTGCTACCCTCATTGTATATTCTTCTATTCTATCCCATCCTATCGACTTCTACAAATTATTATACATACTGAAGGTTTACAGGAAGAAAATTTTTGAACATTAAAAAAAGGCAGTCAAACGCTCAACAAACCTTAATTATCATTGATGAAATGCCAGTTTTGGTGTCATTCTGCCATAGAGCAAAACAATAGGACTGTTTATCCGGCTCAGTGTCTATGCATTTCTCTACAGCAGTGCAAGCTGCTGGACTTGTTGCGTTACATTTTTGTCTGTCATAAACTTCACATGAGGTAGTTTTATTTCTTTCTTCTGAAAAAGAGGAGTTCATAATTTAGACATGAGATCATTAATAAATCATTGAAAGAAGTTTGTGAAAGCTTGTATGACTAGGTTTGCTCATTTTGTGGCCCTTTCCCTTCCGTGAAAATTAAAAAAAATTGAAAAACTCTGTGAGCCATGAGTAGGGCTGTCCTATCGATTTTTAGTAACCCTCCGAAAGACTTTAGTTAGGAAAAGTGACTATAGGAGGGCTCTTAGCGATAGCAGTCTCGTTTTTCAGGGCTGGCGAAAATAAGCTGCTGTCATGTGTACATCTACTGTACGTGCCGACATGTCGCTCAATCCAAAACACTGACACACAGGGCATCAATACATTGAACGAGAGCTCTTACAACTCTGATAAAGCCGGCCGTTCCTAATAGCATCGCCACTTTCAGAGCGCTTAATAGTATCAATTCCCGAAAGTACCAAGAGCCTACCAGAAAGGATTAATTTAAATGGCCGTAGCCATGGCTACACAGATTTCTCCTCTTCCAGATTATCAGAGGCTCCTCTGAAAAAAACTTTTTTGTTTACCCAATCCAATGATTTAAAAGGTAGAAAAATTTGCAAAATTTGGAAAAATTATAGAAAAGATACAGAGGGCATAAGTTTCTATCCTTCTTGAATCCTTCTTTAACACATTTCTTGTTAGAAGTATTAAAGGATGCTTCGTTCAGAAGTTCAAAAACTGCCTGACTCTAGTGCAACCTGTCGATTTGTCTTTTTACATTTTAACATTTCAAAAGAATATGGGTTAAGAAGTTCAATTGAAATGTTCCACAATTTCATAATATTCTGTTCTTAACAGCCAACATCAATTAATTAAGAACTGAATATCTTCCGGGGGTTTTATACTTTCTTTTTTTTTTTTGTGGTTGTAACTGCATATTGAGTGCAGATTACTTTGACTATGCAGCGGAAAATAAGATTTAAAAACTTACCTGCAGAGAGGAAAACTGCATGCATACAGAAAGCTGCAAGAGCGTAGTACAAGATGGTCATTCTGCTCTGTTTTAAATATCGCCATTCACTTGCTGCTTACTTCCTACAGACTTGATACATCTGCAAAACTGTGCAAAAAAAATTTAACCAAATGTTACATCAAAATAATGAAAAAATGACTTGCCAAACGTTGCTCTTAATACGAAAATCATTTCTACCAAATGAAAATCCCTGTTAATCCTGCAGCCTCGACACATACGATAAGGATCAGAGGTAAACAAAGCTAGTTGGATAGCTGTTGGGTTCATGTTCTGCTGCTTTAGGAGATAGGATATCTTGACATATTGCGGACATGTGCGTATAGTAAGTTAGCACCTACCCATTCCTCATTGCACCTTTATCAACATTCTTGCTCCGATGACTTTTTTCAGACAATGAAGTGTCGTGTGAATCAAATTTAAAGAGAGGTGGGAAAAATTGACACATTGGTAACTTAGCGCTTGATTTTTAAGAGAAGGAGTGACTAATCCAGTTGCACATTTTTGGTGTCATCCTGAGCAGAGCCAAATCACACCATTTTGGGAATTCTGGCTCCTTGTTTCAAATAAAAATTATCCACGCCAAATGACTTCAAGAAAACAGTAAAGTGGTGAGATACAGAAAAAATTTGACATTAGTTGGCATCCACAAATGATTCATGACAGTGGGATAAGCCCACCCTCATTGAAAGTCATCGATTTAGCATTAATATTACTTAGTTGTGATGCAGTCATATTACTTCCAAACCCATGGGCTGACTACTATTAAAATTAAATCAGGCCAATTCAAAAAAAAAAATTACTTACACTAAAAATGTGAGATGGTCAGACTGTAGTTGTGAAAAAATGCAAGCTTCAGTGATCGCAAAACATGAGGATTCAAGCACTTGCCGTCTGGATAAGAAATTGTAGTGTTTGCTGAGTGTCAACAATATTACTGCCAACAGCAGGATTTGAAAAGTCGGGAGACAATTTAAAAATTACAGGAGCACTTTTTCTCGATTCTTGAAATATTTCGGACTGAGTTTCCGACTAAAATTATCATGAGGATAAGAAAAAAAAACACTTGAGTTCGTGTTGTGATGCCAGGTTATGCGTCCTATTCCGCAATACAGGAAATCATTTTAGAACAATGTAATGAACGAGTGAGCGAGAGTTTTGACTAATGCACCATTGAAGAGTATGCACTACTGAGAACGGCTTTGTTAAATAGAAGAAATATTTCATAATTGATAAAAATGTCCAAAAATTAATTTGACTGTTTACAATTTCACGAGCTGAAAAGAGAAAACACAATGGCGGCGATTGTTGGCAAGTCCACCTTCAAAATTCCTTGTTCATCAGAGGAATGTGTCGCTGTTCCCTGTTTGCAACTTGTTTCATACACCACAATTCAAATTTTTGCGCGCGTATTTTCAGTGCGTCATTTTTGACCACGTCAAATGTGTGCAGGTAGCATCCACAATGATGAAATACTTCTTCAAAAAATTAAATCCTATTTATGAGGTAAGCTCATCACATAGAGTGGGATACATTATCCGTGTCCGTGTGCATCGAAATAATTATTTCCTCTGCGTTTCGTTAAAACAGGAGTCTGCATTTGAGAAACTTTCTCAAAAGATAAATCATAATAGGTATACGTAGAGCGCAGAGGTTCCCAGGGTTTGGGTTCTGGAGAAGAGAGTGGATTATTTGTGAGAAAAAATTAGTATCCCTCTGCCATGAAAAAAATTGGAAACTGTGTCCTGTTTCGGTGGAAAAAAGCGATCATCAAAAATGCGTTTCAAAATTTTGGTTGGAAACAGAGGGCTACATTGAGGAGATATGATACCCCTTTGCTGTCGAGAGAAAGATCTGCATACTTACTTAACTCTTTACACAGCCGCAAAATGCTTTACTTACTTCACATGAAAAAATTCGAAGGCTGAACTAGATACCGTGCATCTTTATTGTTTATGACATTGCAGACTTTTCCATCCTTACCTGGTTATCCTTACCCTGGTTCCTAGGACATTTCGTCAACGATTTTTTGTCCGCGCACCTGTTTTTTCCAGTAATTTATGTCCACGCGTTTTTTCGGCACGGGAGTTTTGGTCCACGTGCCAGTTGAGACCCAAAGTTAATTGGCCCACATGTAAATACAAACGACAATTGCTCACGACGTTTTTGGATGAAAATATATAATGTCTTGGAAGAATGAGGGTTTGCTGGTTTTTTTGTTTCGTCTGTTTGGTCCAACGGAGAATAATACATAGTTGAGAGTTTTGGTAAAAATGGGGGAGCGTCAATTCTATGAGACAAAATTCACTAAAACTCTCTACACCTCTTTGGTGTAACAGGACTTAATTATCCTTCAAGAAATTCCCACCTTATTATACCTGAACTGGATGAACATCAATATTTGCCTCAGCTCAAGGCTCTTAGATTTTTCCTGTGTACGTTAAGTATCTTGATTTATTTTGCGAGGAAAGATCTGTACTTTTAAAGGATGCTTGTCATTCTTAATACGTTCAATTTCGTATAATACTGTGCAACACCTCTGTTGTGAAATAGTTGCTTCAGGCGCCGCCGCACGGCGGGCGGGCGGCCAGCGCGAGAGTGTAATGTTACTTGGATGGGCCTCTGTAGGGTGCCCTTGCTCCAAGACGAAGGGGAAGAGGATGAAAACACGAAACACAAAAATATAAGGGATGAACTCTGTACTTCAACGTGAGAAAAGTGGAGGAGCCAGCCGAGGCCTGGCCTCCAAGAGGTACAATCAAACTCTATACGCTGCTGAACTGTAACTGCTCAAAAACTAAAACTAGTCCTGAAGAAATGATGAAGAGAAAGTCCTGATGGTTGAGGGTGACAAAGCCGGACTCCGCGCAGGGTGATTAGATAGAAAGAGCAGAGTCCGGTGATATGACGTAAGAAGAGAAAGCATGCGAATAGGTGGAATGTCCTGAGACCGGATATGAGGTATAAATGTAAGAGTGTAAGTGATGATGGAAGATAGGTATAGATAGATATAGGTATAGATAGATATAGGTATAGATAGATATAGGTATAGATAGATATAGGTATAGATAGGTATAGGTATAGATAGATATAGGCATGTTGGGGCACACAACAAGAGGCTCACTGGCGCCTACAAACCTAAGTGGATACTTCAAGCATTGCGCAATGCGTGAAGTATCCACTTAGGTTTGTAGGCGCCAGTGAGCCTCTCGCGCTGGCAGCACGCCGCACAGTGGATCAAGTCAATGGGAAAGGTCGGACAAAATTTGGAAACTTTTAAAGCTTATAACTACGTTAATACAAAACTTAGAGGTTCCAAAAGTGGTTCCATTGGTCCCCTCGTGAAATTTCCTTCTAGAAGCAGCCCTTAAAATTTAAATTGTGACGAATTAAACATCAAAATTTGTAGTTTTGGTCAAAAATTTCGTGTCCGACCTCTCTCACTGATTCGATCCACTGTGCGCCGCTCCGCTTTGTTAGGCTGTAATATTTTTACTCGCATTGTCAGCGTTTTTTAACTCATGATTTTGAAATGTTAGCACACTCTGCATTGATTATTCTCATTTAAATTGATGGGGGAAAAATATGTATCAATTTAGGGAGAATAATAATATAATGTGTGTTTTTTAAATATTGGTGGTTCCGTGTCAAATTCAATGATTTCCAAAGTAGATACTTTAATTTTTTCTTTTATATTTTGTGCTTTTATTGTACTGGAGCGAGGTGTACCCGCAACGGAACGCTCAAAATTTGATGTATTTGACTCTAAAAGATCGATGTACAAATGGGTTAAAACTAAAGATTGCGTGCTTCTTGGTTTTTTTCCCTCTTTTATTCATTTTTGCAGTTTCTGTCGGCACAACTGCGGCTCATACAAATATTTGTCACGTTTTAAAAATATGAATGTTTTCAAAATGAAGTAATAATTTCGTAAAGAAAAAAGAAAAAAGAAAAAAAAATAAGTACCCATACATATTATATAAGGTATATTGTACATTCAATATTTTAAGGATAGAAACAAACCAAATATTCACCAATGACAATTTAAGAAGATGATTCAAAAGGAGAAAGTAATAACATTTCATTTAGAAAATGAGCAACCATAACAACACCTCCTTCTCTCTCAATTTCTCATTTCCATATTGTCAATATAATTTTAATACCGACTAAAACCAAGTCACTGTTGCTTATTTTACGTGTGGGCGTAAACTACTGGACGAAGAAGGTGTGCGGACAAAAAATCGTTGACAAAATGTTCTGAGACCCCTTACCTCGTTTTACCATCGGAACTCAAATCAGCGCTATTCTTACACAATGCTCTGATCTTTTTTCTATTTATTTGGTGTTTGCAGAATATTTCGTAACAATTTTAATAAATCAAGTGGGTTTGTTACCTTCTAACAAAAATAATTATCAGACCTCCCGATGGATGTGTTGTTTCCATGCATTGCAAAGTACACGCGCTGCAAATTAAAGTAGGTACCTATATTGCAAATGAGAGCTGAAAATGAGGACACAGAGAGTTTTTCCCTGTCCTCTCATACTGCCGTGCTGAGGAAGAACGCCGTACGAGCCTTTGGACGTTGCCAAGTTTCCATCGATAAAAACCGAACTTACTGGGTAATTGGTGAATATTTTTTTCCAAATTTTTAAACAATTTTGTACGCAATTTAATCTAAAATAGGTATCTGAAAATCTCAAGGAAAAATAAGCGTAACTTTCCTAAAAAATACATGTTTTATCCAGAGAAATTTGGCAACTCTCGAATGCTCTACGGCGTTTTATATCCTTAGCACGGCAGCATTGGCCAGCGGTGAAATTTAGACTCATCGATGACTCTTATAATTAATTTAGAGTTACTCATTTCTGTTTCTTCCAGTTAAATTATATACTCAAAACCTCCTTTTTTGGTGCAGGAACACACTTTATTGTAAATTAACTAGTTGTACATTGTCTCCTGTCAAAAATTCGGAGTCTTGAAAAAATATTTTGACTATCGGAAAATATTTTAAACTTTGTCCTTGGTTTGGACACTTAAGGAGGAATCAAACCACAAACCTCTTTATTTCACTTCGAACTTGATGTATTAATTAATTAGATACGTTTCTGTTTAACCTCGGTCAAAATGAGGTTGTGCTTACGATGTGCATGTTAATAACTTTCTCTTCTAGTTGCATTATTTAATTCTTTGTTCAATAATAAATTAAAGGAAGGAGAGAGTTAACCTACTTCCAGTTGAATAAAATTCAATCTGGTAAAGTTTAGAGAAATATTGGGAACGTTTTTAAAATGATAAGTAAAGATTTTTAAGACTGGAAACCTTAACCTCAGGAAACCAGGCTCTTAGATCATCTTGGAAAGCAGCATCATTGCTATTAAATCACTTTATGTCCAAGGAACTTTGTTTGGAAATCTTTTAATTTGAACCAATCCATGTGACAAGTTGATGGGAAAACTTTGAAAACATGAGTTTCGATTCCTGATGATTTTGAAGTAAAAGCATGCTCTCAATCTGCACTTAATACTTTATAAGACTAACTTTGTTGCCCAGGTCGAAATGAGTAAAATTTAGAAAATTGGGTTCTTTAGAATATATTCTAAAAATCGAAATTTTGGCATTGACAGTTTTTTAAATTCAGTAATCATAACGATTGCAGCAATCAAAACTACTGAGCGGCAGAAAAAGACTGCACACTCAAGCTCAAGCTTCACGAAAAATGAAAACTATCTTATGCAACAACTGGCAGAGTTACCTCAGCTGCCGCACTGAAGCATCAAATGGACTACATTTTACAATTAGGACCTATACATTCCGGCCCGGTTTAAAAACAACGCGTGTGCTACTAATTTTCTATGCACTTAAGTGTTTTTTCAGAGGAACCAGAATTTATAGGTCCAAATTGCAAAATGCAGTCCAAATGTTATCCTGGATCCCAGTAAGGAAAGGGCTCTAGTATGGTCTAATTTAAAGCAAGATAGGTCTTAGAGCAGTTAAGAGGGACTCTGCAGCAGTTCACTACCTACGACTGTCATGGGTCTGTTGCGCTGGTCATCGAATCACGTTTTGATTTTTTAATGACAACTGTCCTCATGCTTGGTTTTTAAATTCAATATTAACAGAATTAGCGCGCATCAAAAAATACTGCGGACAACATCATCCATCGTGATAATGCGTACCAGGATTTCTTCCACCCTCGTTTCATCTGTTTATTACAACCAGCGACTAGTGAAAGTGTACGTCTCACTGGTTGATGAGACCGAGGTGGAAAAAACTTGGGTATGTGCCATTGCGGTGGTTGACGTCATACGCCAATTTTTTTTTCAGGGCAATAGTTTTGTTAAAACTGAATGTGAAAGCTTGGTGTTTGGACAGATCTTATTATTCTTTGCTTATCTATAATCTAAAATTAGGACTTGATTCCTCGACTGGCGCGACTGACTCATAGAATATGAGGGCTTTGACTTGAGTGTGCAGAGTATGTAGGTAAGGTTGAAACATTAAATGAAATACACAATTTTGGCAAGATTTGATACTTGTATAATTATTCAAAAAATAAAAGACAAAATGACGACTGATACATAAAAAAAAGGGATTAGATAGCAGGAACTAAATGAAACACACAACAAACTTGAGGAGAATGGATAAGTATTACTGATATAGTATGATAATATAATATAATAAATGTACAAATGATATTAATGAATAAGTACTTAATCAAATTTTGCAAATGATCAGACTTCATAAAATACAAATTAGCTTCTTCAATTACTAAAAATTGGTTCATGCAAAATCATATCACTCTTGATGATAATGGAAGTATCTTGAAAGTATTAAGTAGAGATCGAGACAATTTTCAAGAGTTTTTTAAAACGATTAATTTTGAATGTTGAAAACAAGGAGATTTATTCAAAAGAGATGAGATTTGCTGACGGAGGTTTAAGATTTTGTTGGAGATTTGAGAGGGATTTCTTAAGCTCGTGATACCAAAGCAGAGCTGCTGACTGACTTTCTGCTCGAAATTTGTAGGTGTTGCCTAGAAAAAAAAAAATGACACTTGAATAAAGTAAAAAGTTTCAGTAGAAAAAAAATTGATTAATTATTTAAAGAGAAACACAGTTTATTGCCGTTTCAAAATTGCCTAAAATTTTTTTATCAACTACCCATGATCTGAAGGGAAAATTTTAAAATTGTGTAATTCTTACACATGACACTAGATTTTATTGAAATGTATTATTGAAGTGGGCAAAACTCCCCGACTTTTCCAGGTTTTCAAATGACTGTTCAACCTCTAAAAAAATGTCAGTGATACAGAAATTTACGGTGGGTCTAATGTCAGTCCTAAAACAGGACAGATTTTGGCCCTTAACAACACCTTCTCTTAAAAATTAAATGTTTGTCACTTGACAAAATCTTGACTTTTAGTTGGTAGCCCTGTACTCTCAAGGTACAGAAATCACTCAGAAACTATAGGGTTGGAACAGAGTAGGAGTTCAAGATTTTGTATTGAGTTCAAATATCAGTAGCCCAGACCCAAGAGGTGCCTAACTCCCCTTTAGTCTTTTCCATATTAGGGGAAAACCGCGCATCGGCCTCATTGATTCCGATGTAAATCGCAATTATTGAAACTCCATATCTCATAACCAGCGTAAGATAGGGCTACCAAATGTTTTACACACACAGAACCGTTAATGGAGATTTCAAAAACGCCAATGACTCGATTATTCCAAAAGTGTGAGTTATGTACCTTTTGGCTCTAGGGTACTGATATGTTTTTGAAAATGAGATCATGTAAAAAAAGGAAATTTTGGGAAATGCTATTCACTTCGAAAATTACAAATTTTACAAATTATGACAAATCAATGAATCTCCGAAATAATATCACGTGAAATGTGTATAATGAATGTGAATAATGAAAATGTGTGAGAAACTTACATCTGTTAGGATCATGTAAAAAGAACACATCTGGTGAGTCTCCCTGGCGAACGATACAATCATTAATTGGATATGTTTTACACGCATCTCGTTTGTAATCACTTCTTTCCGATCTGAAATCAAACACAAAATTTTATTTATCAACGTTTTGTTTTTTTTTCCACTGGAATGATAACACGGCAAACTTTGAAATTTGCTGAGCCTAACCTGCAGAATGTACACTTTGCCGAGATTACCCATGAGGCACACAGTTCGAATTGATCTACAACTCACTTTCTCCTTTTTTTTTAAACAGTTGCTAAGAGTAGTTGAAGATCATTGCTATAATTATCTTCGAGTTCATCTGTCAACGTGAAAAACTTTACAAACTAACAAACCCTTTGGCATATGCGATCTATGGTGATACTCATTGATTAATGGATTCATCATTCATCGCCAATAATCTCTTCAAAATCTGAGCTGTGCACTTCATTAGGGATTCTTGAAAATTTCATTTTAAAAAAAAAATAATTTTGTTTACAACTTTTTGAGTAGATATGTAGGTGAAAAATATGTAATTCGACGTCGTAAGTCCACTATCACATATCTCATTTGTGGTGTCTGAAAATCTCTGCCTCTATGTTATTTCTTTAAAGGAGAACAAAGTGACATCATTCCTAGAAGTTTTTGCAGAAATTTCTTTGCACAGAGAAGAAAAATCACGGCAGTTTTAAGAAATTACTATAGAGTAGTTTTCTGTTTAAGAAATAGAGCATGACAGGAAGTCTGCGACGTCACAAACCAAGTTATGTGATTGCTGTCTTACACCGTCAAATTAGGTGCTTTGACTAATATTACGCTCAGTAATATAAAAGAAACCCTGCAAACATGGGATTGATAGATAAATTATTGTCACTAAAAATTTCAAATGAAAAATTCCAAAAACAGTAAGCAGATTATGGTAAAATTTGACATTTTCAAAAATCTTCCTTTGTAAAAGTTGATTTTACTAAAAAATTGAACATGACTACCAGATGATGTCTACAGGGAAATAATGCATCATATTTATATGTATTTATGACGTTAATTACAGGAGCAAAATATTTACATCACAACTATTTTCTATTCTGTTGCCAGTAATTGTACCTCCATAAAAGAAAATACAAAATGAGGTGATTGGTTTTAATTTTGTGGGAATATTTGAATATAATTTGATTACATCATTGAGTGCAATATAAAATTTTGAATTTTCAGGAAATCATACCAAGATAGAACCAAAGCAGACAAAAATTAAAAACTTACCCAGAGAAACATTTTGGAGGATAGAATATTAAAGCTGCATGACATAGCTCGACCCAATATCTCTGCCACGATTTGATAGAGGGCTTATGTCCATTTTTCATCAATGTTTTCCTACGCAAGCAGCCTTGCTGACTTGATTCTTTTGATTCAGGTAGATCTACAAAATCCTCCAAGAGCCCTCCGTTTCTGCAATAAAAGAGATGACACTTAGAAAAAATTAAAAAATAGATACATACAAGATAAATCCTTCATACGTTATTCATGCAGCCTCGTGAGATACGTGAGATATACGCGAGATAAAAAAAAACTAAACACTTTCAGACGAATTTACACCATTTTCGTACTTTTGTCCTGAACTTACAGCCACCCTCCTCTCCCTATCGTGTGCCTGAGTCGAGAATCTTTGGTTCACTTTGAAAGTAGACCACAATTTCTTTCTTAGAGAGAATGCCTTTCTAGACGATCTGTTTAACGTCAATGCTGTGTTATCTCTTAAAACAGTGAATGCAGCATTACATTGCCGATGCAAATCTTGTGTCAGATAAATTGATTTTTGTTGATTTTCCATTTGCAAGCAACTTAGCAGCAGCCTTTGAATGGTGATCCCTGATTGACCTAAGACAACACTGCCATGAGCGCTGATCCATGAAATTGCCTATTGGACATGGTGGTCAAAAGTAAATAATTTCAGACTAATCTGATGTGAGTTTTACCTATTAGTCCAAGTTTTAATTAGATAATTTTGTTAAAGAAAAAATAATAAAATCAGTCAAAAGCATTCACATACTTAAGGGCTTGGGGTGTAATTCCACTGGATGGTAACTCTTCAAGAACTGAGTCATCAAGTAAATGCCGAATTCTGGTGCTTGATGGTTGTCGACTAAAGATGCTGGAAAAGAAAAAAATATTCAGTGAGGATAGGAGAATGCAAAATGCAAAAGAAAAAGAGAGAAAATTCGATAGGCACAGGCAGGAATCTGTTTCACTGCTCAGAATAATCTGCAAAGGAGTAGCTCTCTGCATAGATTGGCTCTCCTAGATTAAAGGAACAATCAATATGGTGAATGAAAAATATGAATGAATACTTTCCCGTGAGAAAAAAATGCAATCAGTTTTATTATTTTTTTTTTTTTAATGGATGTCATTTATGATGAGAATAGAAGTATAAATTCAGCTGTTAAAGTTGACATTACAGATATTTCCTCGAAAAGCCTCCCTAGTACTTTGGATAACAGCATGTTTTTTCATCCTAAATTTTTGGCAGACCGATAGAGAAAAGTATTTTCTGAAATTAGGAAATTTTCCATTTTATTACTGTTGAGTCATCATTATATTTAAATTTAAAAAGTGACAAAAAGGGGAAAACTTCATGCTAGTTTCTAATTTGCCACTAGTGGCACCAGAAAGATTAGCCTAGAAAAAAATGAAATGATGGCTACTTAATGAAACAGAGTAGATGCTACCAGTCATTACATCAGAATGAATTCTACTTTATATCAGATTGGATTCAAACAGAAACTATGTTATAACCTCTTTTAATGCAACCAATGAAAATAAATTGTCATGTATCGCTTTCCTGTGGCATAATACTCATAGCATCTTTAAGTGCTAAACCTGATAAGAAACCTTAGTCCCAATATTTTAAAAATAATTTGTCCAGAAAATCAAGAAGCATTTGGACAAAATTAGGATATGAGTTACAAACCAAGAAACATTAAAAAAACAAACAAAAAATTCTTATCTCTAACAACTTGAATTGTATGATTTCCTTACACCTTTAACTACGAAAGAGAATGGTTGCTTGGCGTTGAAACAAACTCACATGAACAAACGAATCTCATGCAAGTCAAAAAAAGGAGAAAAAATCAAGGAAAAAATACCTTTTTATAAAAGTTAAAGACAAAAAGTTTAGCTTGATTTAAAGTTTTCTTTAAATGCCTCTTCATATTCTATAGATATCATTGATATTAGACTCTTTTCCATTTCAGACACACCTTGAGACACATTAATTGCATTTACATTTACAAAGCCAAATGCTTTTGTCTTAGGTATATTGCAAATAGGTCCCACATAGAAGCGTTTTCCTCATCATCATTTAACAAAGTATTATCACCCACATTGATGGCTGAAGTTGAAAAATGCGTATCTCTAATGCAGTATTTAAGACTCTGTTATTGTACTTCATCATAAAAGTATAAAAAAAATATCTGTATACTACCGAAATATCTCATGAACATCTGTTAATAAATGGGGGAAGATGTGGTACAGCAAATTTTGAAAAAAATGTGATGGTTAGTTTCATTTTAAAAATATAAAATACAAGTAGAGATCAGCAATGTTGCAATCGGCGCTACTCATTTTTTGACTTGAGTCATCGACATACAAATGCGAATTCTTTATTGGAGCAAAATTTAGGATGGATAACAGATGGAGCTATTGCAAAAATAAGAATGAAAGGATAAAAGAGGTGGCAGCAACAGATAGACAGAAATCCTAAACGAGTTACGAACACCGAATAGCATGCATACTATAAGATAGATTTGGCTCAACAAAGCTTTTCTGCATTCTACTTGATTAAAAGAGGGAAAAGCCGCTAAGCACGCTAAGTATACAAATATGGAAACAAATTCAAGGGAAAAGAGAGGAAAAAATATATAATTCAGAAAAGCAAAGGGGACCGCTGTGAAAAATTTAAGGGGAAGTTATGAGCATTTCTTTGCATAATAAGTCATATGTTTGAATTAAAAATAAAATTGTCAAGAAGAATTACAAGATAACAAGAATCAACGAATGATAGAGAGTATCATGCTCAAGAGTCCAGAACCGCATATGAACTCACCCCAAAGTATTAACCAAAGAAAGCGGAGCTCCCTTATAAAAGTTTCTTGGAAGGCTTGTGCTACGATATCTACAGATAGACATATTATTGTTAATGAATCTTCAGGTAATTGTGACAAATGGGTAAACCGAAACCAGTTAAACTACATTAGATGTTCCCTAATTTTCTCTGTTTTACATTTCAAACAGAAAGCTTAGCAACACTGAAACTTGTAATTCGTGAGTATATTGACGGTGTAAGTCGGCAATCACATAACTCCGTTTGCGACGTCGCAGACTTACTGTCATACTTTATTTTTTAAACAGGAAACTACCCCACGGCAATTCTTTAAAACTGCTGTGATTTTTCTTCTCTGTGCAAAGAAAATTCTGCAAAAACTTAGAGGAATGATGTAAATTTGTTCTCCTTTAAAAAAATAACATAAAGGCGAAGATTTTAAGACACAGCAAACGAGTTATGTGATTGCTGACTTACACTGTCAATATAGAGGGCTCAGAGGCGTTGAGTAGCTTAGTTTTAAGTTGAAAATTAATACATGAGAGAAAATTAGGCTCCATTAAGCAGACTATATTTTGAAATTTGGAACTAAAATTTTTGGCTCATCCGTAAAAACACATTATGTGCGCAGAGAAACTCATGGTGCATACATTGTTTCTAAGCTGAGCCAGAGATTAAAGTTCCTAATTGCAAGATGAAGTACAAATGCAGTTAGACTGATTCCGGTTAAATCCATCCAAATGGACTACATTTTGCGATTAAGAACTACAATTTCTAGCTCAGTTTAGAAACAACATATGCACTATGAGTTTCCCAAGGCACATAAGTGTTTTTAAAGATGAACCAGAAATTGTAGGTCCTAATTGCAAAATGTAGTCCAAACGTGTTTCAACCCTTCTGTTTCCAGGATTTGCTTTGGTAGAAAATCCTTCAGACTTCAGTTTTAATTGTTATAAATCGACACATAAACTCTGAAAACACAAATCTCAATTTTTTACGCTGGACATTTCCTTTGAACTCAAATTAGACAGGAAAATAATCTAAATAATAAAAAAAAATTAAAAGGATTCTTTTTCCTTCAGTAAAACGTCTTCAGAAAAAATTGGTTTGATTTTCTTAGAATGATAAAATTAGAGAAAATTTTATGGTACAAGTTTTCAGAAACTGGTCATGAAAAAAAATGAAAAGCTGTGTTCTAACAACAAGGTTGAAATTGAGTGTCGACTTTAAAGTCAAATATTACAATCATAATAGACACTGATCATAAAGAAAGTGAGTAATCGATAGACCTCCAGGCAGTTTGAGAGTGTGACTGTTGCTGATAGGTGATACTGCCGAGGACATACAATCTTCGTGAGACGGATAGTGGCCAACGTGAGGTGGAGGAGGGGTGGAGTAAATAACTGGCTTAGGGTATTTTCATGACATCAAACGCAGGTAGATACAGGGTTCAAGGACTCAAGCTTGCCAAAGACAAGTATCCCACTAAGAATAAAATAAGCCTTTCACAAGACTCTGCCCTTTTACAGCCACTTTTCGAGAAGTAGACTGTAAGTAGACTTTTATGGGTAATGTTGAACATTAATCCAGCTGAGAACACGAGAGATGTTCAAAATCTGTTCATTGATTCTTTTTGCATGGTACATAGCACGTATTTTTGATACCGCATCTGCAGGCACATTTTTTCTTGGTCAATGTCAATCAATTGTGACAAGGGAGAGATAAGAAGAGACGTAAAGAAAATAAACAAAAAATCTTTCTCACTTACAAGAACGTTTTTTTCACACTTTCTACAAACTGTGTGATGCAGAATGAATTTTAGACAAATTTTACGTGCTTAAGTTGATTTTGGGGCAGTTTTTCCTTTGGCAAGTCTTCTTAGTTGGCTATAATTCTCATGTAAAATAGTCACATTCTTCCCTATCTAAAGGTCTATTAATTGTCTACTTTTCCTGTCTATTTAAAACCTGAAGCAGAACTTACATAAGGATTCTAGAATTCAGATTTTATCTACTAGCTGATTATCAAAATGACTTCAAGACTAATTTAACCATTTGCAAACCCAAGTGTCTTATGCATGTTTTACATTTTCCGCAGCACACGATTAAGAGCTTAAAATACGAATGGACAACCACAAATTTAGGTAGGCACCTTAAATATCTGTGCAAAATTGTTTGCCTGGCTGTGGAAACAAAAGGGTGAAGAAAGCAGTAATGCTAAAGTGCAATCCCGGTGCAAAAGCTCGATGACGAAAACAAGAGCTGTTAGTAAGGAATTTTTAAAAGCCTACAAAATGTACAACTTGGATGGAATCCATAGATTTTAGTTTAATGTTGCATTGCTCATACAACAAATGCACTGCCGATTACTTCAAAAGGGTCTACAGACTTAAATGCATGTTATACATTTTCCGTGGCGAACAATTAAGAGCTTTAAATACAAATGGACAACCACAAATTTATGTATGTATACACACTTTCTCACACAAAGTCTCCCGTTTACAGACCCTTGATCAAAATGATAGAAATTCTGTGATTTTTTTTCAATCAATTATAATCTAACAAAATTCCTCTCCAATGCTGGAAAATTGAATTTCTCAGTTCATTAAAAATCGGTGCATAAATGAGAGAAAACCAAAAAGTGTACCTTGGATCTGTTTCGGGAAATCTCCTAATTTTTTCTTACCCTGTGATTCTGAATTTGGAAAACATTTGTTTGTCCTGTTGCCTCCAAAAACTGTAGGAGAATTTCTTTTCTCCGATCGATATAAAACGCACTCTTTTTTTTCCAAGTTTTTAAAACCTCTAGAAACCCTGACTTTAAAAAACATTAAAATCTTTCAAGTACTGTAGGAATTGACATTTTCATTTAGTGGGCAGAAAACATATGTGTACTTAACGATGGCTAGGAAATAATTAACTGTTACGAGATTATACTGGTTTTCATAGTTAATAGAAAGATCAGAAGTGAGTTAGATACTGAATGGTAAGAGTTGTTGTCATTACCGAGAGGAAAAGATGATTATATAAAAAGTTATCAGAAATCGAAGAAAAAATAAAGATTTAGAATACTCAAATAAACTGATTAAGTGGTGAAAAGAAAAGCACAATTGTCCGGTGTTGATCAGAATGAGCCAAATGTTCCGAAATTTCCTCTCACAATGTATTCTTTGACAGGGAACGTAAGTAAGATTCAACTTTAAACTTTTGAAGGTGTGTCATTCATAATCTGGGGAAATCAACAGAAAATTTCAAGGCACTATGTTGCTTTGGACTTATGTTCTTGTTACGGAAAGAAACGTGAGAGGAAATTAGGCAATGTCTGGCAATGTAAAATGCAATTAGGTTAAATTAATCCAACTTACATGTTGGAACTACACAATATACTTACTTTGTTCCGAGGCTGCGACACTTTCTGTGGCCAGGAACAAATTTTGAAACAGGGGAGCATTGAAGTAAGGATGATCCTTTCGTCGGTGACAGACTCTGGGAATTTTTACAAGAACTAACTACAGATTCTTTGGAAGCAGACAAACTTGGAGAAGGTGGTTCCAGCCTTAGAGATAATCTGGAAACATAAAGGAGATGCACTCATTAGATTCAATTATGGAACACAATTCACTTTTAGATAGAGGTTAGTTGTAAAAGGAAAATTTACGTTTTGATAGCTGTGGATTATGAAGCAGCAAAATATAATCAAATCTGTCCCATCAAAATATTTCTACAAATGTTATTAACACAGATGTCGTAATGCAGGAAAAACATAGTAAGACATCATCCATACATACATAAAGTTGCTTTCACAGCGCAGCCTCGCACTCTGCGACGCACAATTACCATTGACCCCTATCCTCCCGGAGATCATCAAGCAATTGGCGCCTTCTGATCTCCTCCTCCACTCTTTGTCGTCAACCTTTCGCAGGACGTCCACTCCGTCACCTTCCGGGAGGAACCCAATCAAAAACCTGCTTGGGCAACCGATCGTCTGCCATCCTTCGCACATGTCCATACCAGACCAACTGCTTGGACCTGATATCGTGCACAATGTCATTCTCTACACCCATTATCTCGCGCACCTTTTCATTGCGGATACGCTCTCTCCTTGAGATATCAGCAGACCTCCGCCAAAACTCCATCTCAGTTGCCCTGAGCATGTCTTCACTCCTGTAAGTTACGATACTCTTCACGATGACATTGTAAATTTTTCTTTTAGTCTCCTTAGAGATCCTCTGGTCCCAGAGAACCCCATTTAGCATCGCGATCGCTTTCTGCCTTGCACATTCCAATCTTTAATAGCCCGATCCAAAGTTCTGTCCTTAGTTAACCATCATCCACGATCAAGACATCATCCACATTGGTAATATATTGATGGTCAAAATGCAAAACCACAAAACTGCAAAGTCGTATTTCAACATTTCCGCTCTTACTTTACTTATTTTAAGAGAAAGAAGACAACTTTATGGCTTAAAATTTTCACAGAATATTCTGCTGACAGAAAAGCAAAATCCAGGAAGTTTTCAAGATATTATGTGAACTAGTTTTCCAAAGAAACAAAAACGGGATGACGGGAAGTCTGCAACGTTGCAAACGGAGAAACATGGTTCCACACTTCTGCCATCAATGCCATAATTCCTTAAATTTGGTATGATCTGGGATAAATATTTCGATAACAACAAACAGTTTAAAAGCAGTGTTCAATGCTGGTCCATTAATCCAAAGTAAAAGAAACTACAGTGCATCTGGTTCGTTCAATGGGCAATATCTCAGTAAATTTTGAGTACAAAAACATGATGTGAGGATGGACCAAGATTTTTGAAAGCTTTGGAGAGAAAAATCATGATTCTTACTTGTATTGATCGTCCTCGACGAATTTTTGAAGCTCATCAATGAATTTAATTGAACGTAAGTAAGAAAGAACATCAGGCCGAGAAGGTAAAAATGTGTAGTCAGATTGTTGAAACGCTGAAATAATTCTTAAAATATTGTTCATTTTCAGCTGCCGTTGCTCAGATTCTAGGCCGCCAGTTCGATGAGGATGAGCCATATCTATGTGTACTAGATCAGTCAAAAATATTCCTGAAACATTGTAAAAGAACTTTTTAGACTCCGGAGGATAACTGTTGTCAGATTGTATTTGCAAAGCAGCTTACTAAATTCAAGAAAGCGCATCTTACATCGACGCATTGGACTAGACTTAGGAAAATTACGTCTTGCCTCATGTCCTCCTGTATTTTATTTTTTTTCCACTTCTTCAGGCTCTTAACAGGCAACACTTTCCAGGCCATGCATCTTTAAATAGTCTTCAACTTTTTAAATACATATAATTACCCCAATTCTTTATTAATCCAATACTGTTCTTCTAGAGAGGATGCTTCCTACTTTTAAAATTTTCTAACACAAATTTTCTGGACAAAACTTTTTCCAATAAAAATTAAAAATTTATTAGTTTGTGGTGTTCCTTTTTCACAGGAATCCAAGCAGGAAAATTTATAGGGAACATATTTTAAGACAGAAAAAGGTTGAGGATCTTGTTTTACAAATAATTTTTAAAGTTCTCTCTTTCTGATGAATACCCAAGTACAACTTACCTAAATATGGTATGCAGGGAAGCTTCAAACTTTCAATGTATTCTCTTAAATGTTTCCAATTACAGTCTTCAGAATAAATTTCCGCTAATCTGTCGAACAATTGTTTATCTTTCTTTGCTAAATGATTCCATGTTTTTGATAATCTGGAACAATAATAATAAAATTCCAGAAAAACTGATGCGTAATCAGGGACGGATTTCCCACAAGGCAGACCTAGGCAGCTGCCTAGGAGCGCAAAGTTTTGAGGGGCGCAACATTTTGAGACACAAGCATGCTTTTTAAGGGCTCTAGAATTGAAATCAGTAAAAAAAATTAAGGACGAAAAAAAAAGCGCGCGAAAAGAAGAATATCTGTGAATCTGTCCTTGTCTAATAATAAGGTTCGTAAATCCCGCGCCCCCTCTGCATTAATGAGTAAAATTTTCTTTTTACTTTTTCCAACCTTTTCTCGCATTTGTTTAGTTTTGCTTTGTTTTAATTCCCTATACCTTTTGAAAATTATGGTAGCACAAGAGTCATCTCAGCCACCAAATTTTTCTCTTAAATAACCTAAAAGTATCTTTAAATTGCGTTAATCAAATGCCCGAATTTAAAAATTTCCGGGGGAGGACCCCCGAACCCCCCTTTTGGCTGGGGGGTACCCCCAGACTCCCCACACGGTCGTCTGTTCTGTGAGGGGCGCGACTATAAGATTTGCCTTGGAGCGCTAAAAAGGTAAATCCATCCCTGTGCGTAATGCAATAATAAAAAGCAAACTAGGTGTTTTGACTTTATCAAGCACAATTTTTGCATTACATCTAAGATCAAGATACATCGACAAGATGAAGAGGTTAAGAAATTTGACTTTCGTTGTGACCTTCCTCCTCCCAAAATTGCATTGTTCTTTATCAAAAATGTTTACGCCTCTCAAAAAATAGGACTTTCTGGCAGAACAGCTCCTAAAATTTTCCAAAGAAGTTAGAGTGCTGAAGAGGAGATTAATTTTAGAGGTGTAGGCTATTTACTAGTGAGTAAGATGTAAATATTATGCAAATGCCAATATAATTGTGCATCAAAAAAATAGAAAAATACATCTTTCTCTCTGACGGGGAAAACTTTTGGAATGTAGAAATAAAGAGTTTTCAAGAAAGAAATTTTTTAGCAATTAAAATACAGCCTCCTTTAAGCCATCGAAAAGAATTTGTAATAGCACATTCTTACTTTTTCAGAACTTAAGATAGAAAGAAAAAAGCAGGAGAAACTTTGCATGACCACAGCAGATTAGTTTATTTGTTATAAAGAAAAATAAAATACTTGCCTATAGATAGGAGCACTTTGCATGGCTGATATAACAGCGAACAAAGAATGAAAATTGCTGAGTTCGAACAGCTTTTTTCCTATCCTTATAAAATACGCTAATAACTGAGCTCTGTGTTTTGGAGTTGCCCCCTTAAGTATTTCTTGAACAGTCCAAAAGCTAACCTGAAAATAGAATACAAAATATGGAATATATATAGCTTTTAGAATAATTTGTTGCAATTAAAACTAGTAATCATCACATACATTGAATCAGCAAATCAAAAAAAACTTTCTTCATCCTATAGCACTTTATTTTCCTCGTTTTTTAAATTTTAAGAATTCTGGATTTTTTTTCTTCTTAAATAGTACTCTTGCAAGCCTTAAGGCTGTTTTTGTTATAATTATGAAAAATAGGATTATCTGCGTTCAAGCAAAAGGATATCAAAAAGGGTATAAATGGTTCCTTTTTCATGAATATAGCACAGTAACTTCTAAACAAAATTTTCTAGGAGATACGACAGTAAATTTTTCAGCCTGCGCAAAGTGAGAAAAATATTAGGGCAACTAAATGTGAAGTTGATATTAATTGCACACTTAAAATAACGGATCTTTTATACATTGATCAGTGCTCATTGATACAACAGTTCAATGACCAATGGATGGACACTGAAGTTTTGAGTTTTTTCATAAAATTGTTTTCAAACAGTAATGGAAGGAGATACTGGATGGTATTGCAATAGGGGAAGATACTCAACTTGGATTCATTTATTTTAAAAAATAATTTTGCTTACATGATTGAATCTACGAGTAAAAGCCACAACATTGGGGGCAACTTCTAATTTATTTCGTTTGTGCCATGCGCAAGAGGTAAGTTCATCAGGTGAGATCTGTTGGAAGACAGCAAAGTCAAGAAGAGAGAGTTGAGATGCAAAATCCTCTGGTGGGACCCTTAACACCTCTAAAATTGGTTCGACATGTTTAATTAAAGTTGCATTATTTGGTAAACTATTTGATTTGCTGTGCCTTTCACCAGCATTACTGAAACAAAAAATAGAAGGAAATGAATCAATAAATTATCATAAAATAGCATCTTAGCATTCTGGTTAATTTGAATATTCATCCATGCATTGATGTATACTGAGAAAAAAAAAAAAAATTATAACTCAAGGGACCTCTTGCAAAATAGAGCTGTAAGCCTAAAAACTTCCCGCATAGAGATAAAGTAAAATTCACACTAATGCTGTTATCTAGACTGCTTATAATATTGTCATTCAAGCGATATTAATCGTAAACATCTATATCTTGATTAGGAGATGATTTCCAAACTTCTCGTTGTGTGATTCATTTTTCTCGTGAAATTTTGAAGAGAAAAAATATTATGGAACGCTTCAATTCAGAATTTTTCCGGGGCCCGCTGAAAACATAATCTGACAAAGTGTTGCTTGATTCTTTGGATGGCGATAAAAAAAGGAAAAGTGAGTCAAAATGTCGTGAGCTTACTTCAGATTATTATAACTAATAACCGAGGAATCAGTCTTCTTTTTTGAGTAGCAGTCATTTGTGGTATGATGTCTCTTAAGTTTGCATTGTGGAGATTCGGATTCGGGAGAATCCAGTAGAGGTAACTCATGACTGCTCACTTCCACACCACTATCGAAGTTCTCGTTAACCCAACTGTTTTCACTTTTTCTGTCCCATTTCTGAAAAAATAGAAAAATACAGTAAATAAAAATAAATTAAAAAATTAAGTTTTTCATCAACTAAGAACAGGGTTGCCACAGACTTTAGAAAATAAAATTCCATGACATTTCCCTGGCTTCCCTGACAAATTTTGGTGAAATTCCCTGGCGTTAGAAAATGTACGAGTATATAAAAAGAGACAAATTGCCACTTCCAGACCCAAGTGTGTGACAATAGAGAATTTGCAGGTGTCTGAAATTTGATGAATTTCGCGTCTAAAGGGAAACTACTGAGTGAACTGAACACGGGGATACCCTTGGTTAATGAATTGAACAATTACTGCAGAAGATATGACGAAATGATCTAATCTGTTAAAATCTATGTGTTTAAATGGGAAATGCCGCCGGATGAAGTCACTGGGCGGTGCATTTTCTCACTTTTAAATCTATTTTGATACCATTTCCCTTATCAGAAAAAAATTATAAAAAAAAACTGTGAAATCAGCTTTTTAAGCACTTTCAGGTAAATCAATAAAAAAATTGCATGCGAATTCTCCATTGTTGTCATGGTGCAGATTACAAGTATTTATACAAGGTACTTAAAAAAAAAAAAAAAAAAAAAAAAAAAAAAACGCTAATCGACATCAGTCGCCATTTCAGAGCTGTCCTCAGAATTAGAGTGAATTCTTACAGCTGTTACTAGACTGAGATATTGGAATGATATTAAAATCGTTTTGTTTCGTTGATGTCATACAGGCAAGTGGGGGAGGAAAAAGAAGAAAAAAATGAATTCCGTGAAGAAAATTACAGGAAAACGATGTGTGTAAAAAATCAAACGAAAAAGGGAAGAAACAAAAATATCTGACGCAAAAAAAGTTTAAAAAGTAGTCATACTCACTTTGGAGTTTGAAATCTGTAACGATGCAAAGCTGCAATCCAGCGTTACATCATGGGGCATTTCAGAATATCGCATATTGGCCATACAGAGCATTTGTGGGCATGTTAAGTACACCTGGAACAAAAATAAAAATTAAGTCGTTAGTGCGTGAAGTAAATTATCTTTACATGAGTTTAGACATCTTGATAAGTCACAGAGGATCAGAAGTTCTTGAACTGTAACTGAACATACCTAATGCTTTCACCTCTCACCTTTGGTAAACGTTATGTGCTTTCAGCACATTTGGTCAATAATCTTCCATCTTTAAAATGCCAACTCGGGTCTTAAATCGGCCTCCGATGTCGATGAGAAAATGTCTGGGAGACCGTCATCCTTCCCTTTAAAATTAATAAATATTCACCTACTGTCTGGTTTTCCACCGATTTACAGCCGAAAGTCGCAGTCGCGTCGACTGGAAACGCCTTCAAATTAGAAGGTATGCAACATAAACTCAGGAGTCGAAATAGTGGTCTACCAACTCCGGAGCTATAAACGAACAGTCATTGATGCATGATCGATCGAGGGTACATCGACGAAGTATCTAGAGTACACTACACAGACGGTCTACGTTTCAAAATAATTTGTTTCTTTTTTCATTCCTTACAGAACTTTTTCGAGTTAAAGGGTACAGAAAGTCCACTTGGACCTCGAAAAAGTCTGAAATCCACCCATTAGCGCGCAATCTGCTTGTTTTCTAACACGCTTTTTCGAATTTACCGCGTTTGCGGGCAGCTTTTCTTGGTAGCTGGCAGTCAGGTTTGCTCGAAGAGAGACCTAACCTAAGTAAACAAGCAAGCTTGGAAACTGATATAAAATCTCCTTGCGGAAGATTTCAACTGATTCAAAGCTTTTGTTTTTGCAAAATAAAGAAAGAAAAATGAAGCAAACGCTTGGAAAAAAATGACATCATAAAATAGCAAAAGTTAGTGAGTCGTTTGTTTAATTTGGGCAGTTCTTTCTTACTCCTCTGCCTGTGCAAACCTGGTCGGCGGCGACTGAGAAAAACTGCCCAGAGACGCGGGAAACTAGAAAAAACGTGTTACAGAATACGCAGATTGCGCGCATGGCTGTGTCTCTTGCGTGCAATAGACCCATTCATAATTTGAAACAGTTTTCAGGCAAAATTTGTTGTTCGAAACGTAAAACTAGAAAGCAAGCAAAGGTGACTTAAAAATTTTTCCTGACACTGTCGTCATCTCCCCTATGACATTTCCAGGTTTTCCCCGACTTTCGAAAATTGTCTGACATTTCCCGGTTTTCCCTGACTGCAGCAAGCTAGGGTTGCCACAGTTTCTTCGTCTACAAATTTCCTGACTTTCCCTGATTTTCCGGGTTTTCCAGACCGCCGGCAACCCGGGGCCGAATTTTGTTGGTCCTTCACTTAAATGAAGGGCTTGGAGGACAAGGTGCATCAGAGCCGGATTAAGGGGGTGGCCACATGGGCCGCGGCCCATGGCGGCAAATTTTGCACTTTTTTTAAAAAAAAATCGGATTTTGAAAAAAAAATTACAAACGAAAAAAGGCGACAAAATCTCTCATTTCCTGAGAGTGTAGTATTTTCTAATTTTGTCGTCTTTCAGTGATACAAGAGACAGCACCTTTAATTAGTCGAGTTAAGAGAGAAACCAAACACGCAATTCGTCCTGGAACGGCGCGACTTAGAGAGAAATGATGATGAGGACTTGAGATGAAAAGGAGAAGTCCTCGGCGAGGAGGTCGGCATGTAATACATATTAGCGCCTACAAGACTGCACTAATACTTCACGCATTGCATCAAACGTGAAACGCTTAGCACCTACAAGACTGCGCGAATACCTCACGCATTGCGTCAAACACAGTGCGTTCAGCGGCGGTCGGCGTGAAACGCATAGCGCCTACAAGACTGTCGGAAAACTTCACGCATTGCGCCAAACACGGTGCAGGCTGCGCGGCGCGACGGCGGAAGTTAAAATCATTAAGCTACATTTATGTTTGTTCTTTCATAATTTGTTCGTTCTGAATGGAAGGCCTTGTCCACACAGAGATAGGTTTACGGAACTTAACTTTTGCGCAAAGTTCCGTGAACTTTTGCTAGTAGTGTTAACAGGGCTTTTCTAAAAAATGTGTCCAACACGAGTAAACGCGTCTTATGCACTCCTCCCCCGCTATTGATATTTCAAAACGAATGAGAGGGGGGCGGCAAAATACAGGCCGGCCCATGGGCGGCAAGTAGGTAAATCCGGCCCTGAGGCGCATAAGTGCAGTTTTTGAAAAAATTGAGATGTCAATGATTTCAAGTAAAACTAGTCTCAATGCATATACTGTGAAAAATTCGCTCCAAAATTCTACTTTTTAAGCACTAATCACTCAGTTTGAACTCTCTTTATGCAATAAGGCTCTATGTAATTTCGAAACTTCAAACACGTATTTCTCGGAAAAGCAAAAACTGCACTTATGCGCCTTGTCCTCCGAGCCCCTCAATATATTCTTAGGACGAGCCTCGAATGCACCTTAGTCCGGCTTTGCGCTTCTGATTGGCCGGGGGTGCGGTTTCGACTCATCGATGGATACTGCACCTCCACGTGAAAGAGCCGACAAAATTCGGCATCTGCTTGCCCTTTCTCCCCGGCAGTTTTCGCATCCTCTAGACTGTTGGCGAAAAGCGTCAGCTGTTTTGTAAAGTTTTGATTCCTCCAGTTTTTCATTTCTCAGTTTCAGTTCGGTATGATACCTTGCCCATAAAGGTGATCAAAAAGCGTCCTCCGAGTGTTATTTCTTTCCATACCACCTTTAGCTTTTACCTTTAGCCTTTAGGTTATGGGCCCAGCACGCTAAAGGATCTCGTGCTTTGAAACTTACGTATAAACGAAATAATGATCATGAGCATATTCTAAGTGGATTCGTTGATTCTGATTGGGCAGGAGATTCAACGGACAGGAAAAGTACCACTGGGTTTTTCTTCAAACTGTTTGGTGTGTGCACCGTTAGTTGGAATACAAAGAAACAGAAATCTGTTGCTGCTTCGTCTACAGAGGCAGAATACATGGCCCTATTTGAAGGGGTTAGGGAAGCTCTCTGGTTGAAGTCATTACTGCATAGCGTAAATTTGGCAATACAACGGCCAATCCCTATCTATGAGGATAATAACGGTTGTATTAGCATTGCTAACAACCCGTCTAGTCATAAAAGATCGAAACACATCGATATTAAATATCACTTTTCCCGAGAGCAAGTTGAAGAAAATACTATTATCCTTCATCATTTGTCCACAGGTGATCAGCCAGCAGATCTGCTCACGAAGCCTCTACCAACTCCGACCTTCTTGAAATTCAGAGCTGAATTTGGGCTCCAATCAGCCAGTACCGAGTGAGAGATTTGATGAGGTTTTCATCTGGGTTTCCCTCATCCTTGCAACGAATGTTGAATCTATTTTCTTTTCTTCCCAGATATTAGATAAAGTTAATTTTTTTTTGACGTTTATCCCCCCCCCCCAAAAAAAAAAAAAAAAAAAAAAAAAAAAAAAAAGTTACATTTCATTTTTCAATGTCAAAATTTAATCCCCAAGTTAAATTTTGAGGGGGCGTGTTGGCGAAAAGCGTCAGCTGTTTTGTAAAGTTTTGATTCCTCCAGTTTTTCATTTCTCAGTTTCAGTTCGGTATGATACCTTGCCCATAAAGGTGATCTAAAAGCGTCCTCCGAGTGTTATTTCTTTCCATACCACCTTTAGCTTTTACCTTTAGCCTTTATAGACAGCACCCTCCCCGGAAGACCCGGTCAAAAATTACGCCCCTCCCCCGGTCCCAAAACTAAAAAAATCCGGAAAAGTGAGTCAAACCCAAGAAATGAGAACACTTACGCAATACTACTTGGCGTCTCCAGAGGATCCGGTCAAAATCACGCCCCCGGCCCCAAAACTCGAAAAAATCCGGGAAAAGTTCCGGAATAGGGAGTCGAACCCAAAAAACGTGAACATTTACGCAATACTACGTGGCGTGGCGTTGGTGTGAGTGGGATGACGTCACGGCTTGGGTTGTGTTTGTGGTAATGACAATGAACGGTCGGGGCCGGGCGCCCACCCGACGAGGGAGGGGGAGGGGGAGGGGGCGGAGGTATCGATTATCATCTTCGCACAAATCCGCGCTCGCCCAGCCGGCTGCTCCAGTGCTCCACCTCTAAAAATAGCGCGCGATTCGCCAGACGCGCACCGCACAATGGATCGAGTCAGTCAGAGAGGGGGACATGGCATTTTAGACTAAAACTGCAACTTTTGATGTTTATTTTGTCACATTTTAAATTTTGAGGGGTACTTCTAGAAGCGGGGTTGCCATAGAATTTGGAAAATTAAATCCCCTGACATTTCCCTGATACATTTTGGTGTAATTCCCTGACAATTGAACAAAAATCGTATTGTTAAAAAGACATAGTTACAAATAGTTTCCGGACAAACTTTATAGATCGAAACGTCAAACTGATTCTAGAATGGGAATCAAGAGGGATTTGAAGATTTTTCCCTGACATTTGCGTCATTTTCCCTGACATTTCCCGATTTTCCCTAACATTTCCCGGTTTTCCTGGTGTTCCCTGACTGTGGCAACACAATAGAAGAAAATTTCACGAGGAAACGGATGACACCACTTTCAGAACCTCAAAGTTTTGTATGAACGGAGTTATAAGCGTTTAAAGTTTCGACATTTTGTCCGACCTCTGGTATTGACTCGACCCACTGTGCGAGGCTCCCTCGCGGTGATCGGTCGCGTGATGCTCCCGGCTGAAACCGGCGAGCCGAACGGGTACGGGGGACACTTTTTCGGGGCGCCCCCCTTGCGGATCGCGTGTCGAATTCAATCTGCATCGCGGATAGACGCTCACAAATTGATAGCGAGCTATTTTCGGATTAGGTTCATTCCCAGCCGGGTGGATGGCTAATCTCCTTTCGGAGCATGTGCGCAAGGATTTCCTCGTCAATGAGAGTTTGCGCTTTCACAATTAGAGCCACAAACGGCCGAGCTGTCGTGCGTCATGAAAGCCAACAACGATGGGGCATGGCTCAAAGCAACTACGTATACAGGGTTATCCAGAAGTCCGGGACCCCCCTT